ACCAACCCCAGCCTCACACCCTCACGTAACCCCCACCCAGAGGCCCCCCTCCACCACCACCTGGGGGCAAGGCCAGGGCACGGAATCTGGGGGTGCAGCATCCAGTCTGTAGGGTGCTGGTACTGAGCCCACCACCCAAATATAAAGCCTCGTCTCATCCGACCCCTCACTCAGCTGTCAGCTCTACCCCGACCCTGTGCCCCGGCCTCCGGGAGACAGAGCGGCGGGTCCCCAGGACTCCCCAGCGTGTGGGGTCTGCAGCCTGATTGGGGCCGGGCCACGGATGGGGTGCTCCCCCGGCCCCCGGAGGGCGTGTGCATGGTGCCCTAGAGCCGTGCAGATTACAGGAGGCAGGGGGTGCTTGGCCATTCTCTTACCACGGGTTAAAGAAAATGCCAGGAGTGGGCTGGAAATGTTTGCCACGAAGTGGGGGCTGGGGACCACCGGCGGGGAGAGGGTCCAGTCCACACTCCTTGCTGAGGCCTGGGCCCAGGGTGGGGGCTGCTGGCTCCTGCCCCGTCCCCCCCCCCCCCGCTGACCCAGGGAAGCCCTAGGAGGTTTGGACGTCCTGCTCCCACACCCTGGGGGCCCCCAGCCCCTTGTCTCCTCCTTCACCAGGACACTTGGACACCAAGTCTCGGCCAGGTGGCGGGCAGACTGGGCAGGGCAGGGACTCCACGGTGCCCGGGCACCCCCTCCTGTTGGGGCTGCTCAGCGGGATGGAGGCCCCCTCCAAAGTTTGTCCCTGGCATTTGTGAGGCAGATGGAGGCCCTCGACCCCTCCCCAGGCCCCACCCCACCCATTCATGGGCAGGACAAGCTCTGTCCCAGAGTCTCGGGGGAGAAGGAGCCGCGCCCAGAGCCCTGAGCCTGGGGAGTGTCTGGGGCAGGGTGTGCCCTGCAAACCCAGGAGGGGGGGGCACTTCTGAAAGAAATGGGGCTCCTTGGGCTGTGTGGGTCCGAAGTGGCGTACACAGCTGACCCAGACTTAAGCCAATCATGACGGAGAGCCCCTGGCCCCACCCCAGGCTCGGGAGAAGCTGCCCCAGGTAGGGACATATCTGGGCTTCTGGGGAAAATTTCAGACTCAGGGCAAAGGGCAGAGAGAAGGCCAGAGGCTGTTCGGGTCCCCATGTGGCCCCCACAGGGCTCACGGCGCTCAGCCCCACCCCGGTGAGTGGCCCAGCCCACAGAGCTCCACACTCAGGGCTGTAGGGAGCTGATGAGCTCACCGGGCCCCAGGTGCGCTGAGGTGCTAACCTGCTCCTCTCCCTGGGTGGGGAAGGTGGTCCTGCTGCCCTCCCAGCCCTCTGCTTACTTCTGATGGAGTCGGGGGCGGGGGGCAACTCTCGCAGAGCTCCTTCCTGCGGCTGTCAGGAAGGAGGAGAGAGGCTGCCACCTCCTGGCCCAGGCAGAGCGACCGCCAAATGGCAAGGATCTGCTTCGGTGCCAAAGTCCCCTTACCCAGATTCCTAGGTAAACTGAGGCAGCAAGCAGCGATCAGGCAGGATAGAATGCTCAAGTGAAGAGCTGCAGGAATTAATAAAATGAAAGGGTAGGAGAGGGAGCAAGTGAATGAAGGGCCAGCGGGTGGGGGAAGGAGAAGGTGGGCAGGCGGGCAGGTGAGCCAGTGGGCAGGTGGGCAGGTGAGCAGGCGGGCAGGCAGGCAGGTGGGCAGGCAGGCAGGTGAGCAGGCAGGCAGGCAAGCAGGTGGGCAGGTGAGCAGGCGGGCAGGCGGGCAGGTGGGCAGGTGGGCAGGTGAGCAGGCGGGCAGGCGGGCAGGTGGGCAGGTGAGCCAGCGGGCAGGCGGGCAGGTGAATAAGTGGGCAGGTGGGCAGGCAGGCAGATGAGCCAGTGGGCAGACAGGCAGGCGGGCAGGTGAACAGGTGGACAGGTGGGCAGGCAGGTGGGCAGGTGAACAGGAGGACAGACGGGCAGGTGAACAGGTGGGCAGGTAAACAGGCGGGCAGGTGGGCAGGTGGGCAGGCGGGCAGGTGGGCAGGTGAACAGGTGGGCAGGCGGGCAGGTGGGTAGGCAGGTAGGTGGGCAGGTGGGCAGGTGAGCCAGTGGGCAGGTGAACAGGTGGGCAGGCAGGCAGGTAAACAGGTGGGCAGGTGGGCAGGTGAATAGGTGGGCAGGTGAACAGGTGGGCAGGTGAACAGGCGGGCAGGTGGGCAGGTGGACAGGTGGGCAGGCGGGCAGGTGAACAGGTGGACAGGTGGGCAGGCGGGCAGGTGAACAGGCGGGCAGGTAAACAGGCGGGCAGGTGGGCAGGTGGACAGGTGGGCAGGCGGGCAGGTGAACAGGTGGACAGGTAGGCAGGCGAGCAGGTGAACAGGAGGGCAGGCGGGAGGTGAACAGGCGGGCAGGTAAACAGGTGGGCAGGTGGGCAGGCGGGCAGGTGGGCAGGCCAGTACTTGACGTCCCTGAATGAGTGGACAGGCAGAGCCAGCTCCTACGTGCCTGCTCCCCTCTGTGCTATGAGCCTGGGGTGCTGGACAAAACCATGTTTTTAAATAAAATATATTGTAGGACAGTTTTAGATTTACAGAAAAGTTGCAAAGGTAGTACAGGGAGTTCACATGTACCCTACACCCAGCTTCACCTCATACCAACATCTGACATGGGTATGGGACACATCACAATGAATCAATGGCTATTGACCCATTATTGTCCACTGAAGTCCGCACTCTATTCCGAGTGTCTCAGTTTTTCCCTAATAGCCTGTTTCTGTCCCAGGTTCCCATCTAGGGCACCCCGGGACATTGAGTCCTCATGTCTGTGACAGCTTGTGATGACCCGGACAGTTCCAAGGCAGACAGGTCAGGCACGCCGTAGGACGCCCCTCAGTTGAAGTTTGTCTGGTGTGTGTGTGTCACGGTCAGATTGGGCTGTGGGTTTGGGAAGAGGACCCCAGGGTGAAGCGCCCTCCCACCCCATCGGGTCCGGGCCCGTGCTCCCCACCTGACTCATCCCCGTGACGCTGGCCTTGCTCACTTGGCAGGGTGTGCGTCAGGTGCAGCCTTCCATCCCGTGGTCTCAGGAAGGAAGTCGCTGTGACAGTCACACCCGAGGGGCGGGGGTTGGGCTTCCCCCCCCAATGGGGGCGCATCCGTGCACAGTGTCTGGGATTCTCCCGGCCGGCAGAGGCACCAGGAACTGCCATACCCTCAGAGGTCCTGGTGCCTTGGCAGGAACTGACCTCTCTCTCTCTCCGCCACCCTTTCCTCTACTCCATCGGCTACGTGCCCAGCGTGGGTCCCCAGGTGTCTGTGGGATAAGGTGGGCTACCATCCTGCATCGCCAAGCGGGCTCCCTGTGGTCCCCGCCGTGGCCACGGGGAGCACTCTCAGTGAGCTCCTGTGACAGTTTCCAGTGAACCAATCCTTTATTAGATGAGGTCGGAGAGAGGAAAGAGAAAGGAGTTCCCTGGCCAGCAAATAACATATTACACACGTGTGCCCACGCGTGCAAGCACACCCACACATGTGCCCTCGGACACCTGGAAGCTCAGCATCTTTCGAGGAAAAGAAAACAGGAGGCAGCCCAGGCTGGCAGCCCAGGCTGGCTCATGGTGCGGCCTGACCCTCAGGTCCAAGGGGGGCAGGCAGGGGCGTGTCCCCCTGAGCCAGCCCCTCGGGGATGGGCCTGCTGCTTTAGGTCCCCCCGTGGCTCCCATGGGTCAGCGCAGCCCTCAGGAGCGGGTGGCCAGCCCAGGTGCCCAGATGAGATGGGCACGTGGCTGAAGGCCGGGTAGCCAGGCAGAGCCGGCGGCTTCCCCCCCAGATGCCGCTTCCTTTCCCAGGGCGGGTGGCGAGGTGCTGGAGGGGGAGGCTGTGGTTCAGCCGAGGGGGTGGGGTTCACCGGGGTAAACGTGCGTATGGGGAAAGGGGGCCGTGGTCGGAGGCCCGGGCTCTGTCTCCTGCCCACGAGCGATGCGGCGCCGCTCTGGGGAGACACGCAAGGCCACCCATGCACAGTGCACGGTGCGTGCTCGGCGGCGGCAGGGCAAGAACCCAGGCCCGGCTCGGCTCCGGCTCAGCAAGGCTCCCTCCAAACTCAGTGCGGAGGCGCCCGGGGGGCTGGCAGCAGGCAGGGTCACCTCATTGCGTCCCAACAGGCTGCCAGGCTCTGTCTTTCTCACCAAAGTTGGAGAAAAGCAACAGGCGCATGCAGCAGACCCTGACGAGAGGCTCATCTCCATGGACAGAGGGTCAGGCTGGCCAGCCCGCATGGCCCACTCCCTGGGGGTCCCGCACTTTCACTCTTGCTGTCCCTTGGGTCACACCTGGGCTCCACCTGGAGCGGTCCACAGGCACTTGCCATCGGAGACCCCCTCGTGCCCCTGCAGATCCAGGGTGGGGCCTCCTGGGACCAGGGTGGGCGGCGGTCTGGGGGCACCTGGTTGACAAGGGGTCCCGGCTGCCCTGGCGCCCTCCAGACAGCTCTGCTCTGAATTACCTTTCCAAAATGTTTCGGTTGGTGTTTCCTAAGGTGATGCTCCAACAGTGATGCTCAGATGCGATCCTGTCTCCCAAACTCCTGCAAGGATCAAGCCTTGGGCAGGATTCTGCTTGCATACTCCCAGGACAAGAAGCTCACCCCCTACCCGGGCACCTTCGCCTCTACTCACCACCTCCTCCCACCTCCTCCCAGGATGTGCTCTGTGGCAGCCCAAGAACAAGGCCGCACCCTTTGGGGAGAAGCCTCATACCCTCAGAGGTCCTGGTGCCTTGGGCCAGGGCTGGGGAAGGCAGGGGTGGCAGGAACTGACCTCGCTGCCCCTCCACTGCCTTCCTGCCCATCTTCCGTGTCTTTGGGAGCAAACAGAGGCTCAGTTCTCTGGGTGTGTTGACAAATAGAGAGCAGCCTACCTCCTGGGCAGGCAGCTGTGGTCTGAGGCCCCCACCCAGCTGGAAACCACAGTGGGTGGGGAAGGGCGGGGAGAGGAGGGGAGAAGAGAGCAGAGGAGGGGAGAAGAGAGCAGAGGAGAAGGGAGACGAGATGGCCACCACGCGGCCCTGGAGCCGGGTCAGGGTGGCCAAATGCCAGATGCTGGTCACCAGCTTCTTTGTCTTGGTAACAGGCTGGTCGGGTGGGAGGGGTGTGGGGGGGGGCCGTGTCAGCAGACCCTTCTAGCACTGTGGTCCCCACACACACCCAGCCCTGCTGTCCCCATCCTGCCCCCGGGACATGCACCTGGGGCCCCTGGTGGTGGACCCCTGGCAAGTGGCTGTTTGCGCAGGATGCCCTGTGGGCCCCGCCAGGCAGCGTGGGACCTGGGTGGCTGGTGAACTGATGTCAGAGGGGGGCAGGGGGAGGGGGCCGCTAGGGGCTGTGCAGACAGAATGATGCAAGGTTCTGGGTCCTGGGAGAAGCTGCACAATGAATGTGTGTGCAGTGGGGGGAGAGCGGTGTGTGTGTGTGTATTTGTCAGTGTATCTGCGTGCGTGTGTGGCAGGGTGTCTGGGACAAAGGCCTCCCTGAGACCACCCTACAGAAGCACCCAGAAGTCCCAAAGCTGAGCCTGTCTCAAGTGAGACCATGAAGCTAGGGGGAGGTTGGTCAAGGGACCCAGGAGACCCAGACCCTGTGCTCTGGGCCTCGTCGTGTGTCCAGCCCTGCCCCCACACTGTGGTCCGCCCCACCCCCAGCTCCTGGGCCTGTCTGTGGCCACATTGGCGGTTCTCACCTACTTCGGGGCCCACTTTGCTATCATCGGCCATGCATCCTCAGACAGGACCCCCTATGAGGCCATGCACCGCTGGGGTAAGTGAGGTCAGGTGGCTTCTGTCGGGGAGGGGACTTCAGGTGCAAAGGCAGCCTGGGGCGGGTGGGGGCCTCCGAGTGGAGCCGGGCTAGGTCAGGCAGTGGGTGTGGGCAGAGAGGGCCACCCTGGGGTCCTTCTGCACCGGGCAGAGCCAAGGGTCTGGGCCCCAGCCTGTGCCTTCATCTCCTGTCCTGGGAGCCTAGGGCCAGGTGGCATCCAGATGGCCTCAGTGTCCTGGGGGGGTTGCTCCGAAACAAAGGGGCCTGAGCCTCGAGGCATTCTGGGGGCTGGGTCTCAGGCAAGAGCACAGCCAAGGAGGGCAGCCATGGGGGAAACTGAGGCCCAGAGAGACAGGCTGTGGTCCCAGCCTCAGGCCTCCCGGCCCTGAGGCCCCAGGTTTTTACCCCGAAGCCTGAATCCTGGAGCAGGAAGCCTGGGTCTTGGGCCTGGCCTGATAAGAACGAGCACCCCGCACTTGCCTGGTGGCTTCTGAGATATCCCCTGGCGGACAGGAAGCAGAAGTGGGGGGCAGGGCCTCTGGCCTCCTCCTTCCCTCCTGCCTTCTCAGCATTGGGAGGAGAGGGAGTGGGTGCTGGGTGGTACATCCTGGCCTGAGCGGGGCTCCTGATCTCTTCAGAGCTCCCAGAAGCCTACCGCCTGAGTGTACCCTTGGGTTGGATTGCAGATGCTGGCCCTGTGCACTGGGGACCCCGTGTCCGGGGCATGCCTAACCCTTCTGCTCTCTGTCCCCACCCAGCCTTCTACGTCGGCATCAGCCTGGCCGGGCTCCTAACCCTGGGTGCCGTCCTGGGCGCCGCAGCCACAGTGAGGGAGGCCGGGGGCCTCATGGCTGGGGTGAGTTGTCCCTGCCCCCAGTCCCCCGGCCCCTGGGATGGGCTCAGGAGCACGCAGGGCAGGGAGAGCCCAGGGAGCCTGCCTCCTCCCACAGAGTCCCGGCAGAAAGAGAGGCCCAGAGATGTGCGCCAGCCAGGACGCCCATCCACCTGGGCCAACCAGGACCCCTCCGCCAGGGCCTGCTTCACCCCATCATCCACGGAGGCGAGAAAGGCAGTGCCGATCCTCCCAGGCCTGGTGGCCATTGCCAAAGGGAGCGTCTGGTTCTCTTACACCAGAGGCTCTGGGAACCGGCTTCCATTTCCTGTTACTGGGCCAGGGGAGGCGGGAAAAGCCCCTCCACTGGCCAGGTCACCTGTAGGTCTGGGCTTGTGCTGTGCCCCAAGGGGGTCTGAGCCGCATTGCTCCTTTGCAGCTGTGGAGAGGCTCTGCCTCACCCCACAAGGGCCAGTGCCCCCTTGTTGCCCCCATTCCTGCTCGTCCCTTGGGTCCATCCTCGTCCCCACTGGCCTGTCCCGCTGCTCCGCCTGCCAGCCCCGCCCCCCCAAGGCCTGTCTGTCCTGGGCACAGGCTCTCCTCTCCTTCCGGAACCTGGGCTCCCTGGTGCCCTGGGCTCACGCACCTGCACCCCCGTCTCCCCCTGGCACCTGCCCTCCCTGCCTGGGGTCTCCAGGACTCCTCGCAGGCTCGGGACAGAGTCCTGCTGATGGAGGTAGGCCAGGTCCAAGGACCCAGAGGGGGTCCCGCGGGACCAGCCAGGAGGGCCCTCGGCTTCGCACAGGGTAGAAAGTGAACGGAGTTTACTGAATAGCGTGAGTGAGGGACAGAGAGTCCCAGACAGAGTGTCTGGGAGACTCGGAAAGAACAGGAGAGGGAGTCTCTCTGCCTCTTGGGGTTGGGGGTTTACATTGGAAAGGGGTCCAGGGTACGTGTTCCTGCAGTCATCTCCCGAAGCTGCGGCCCGGGCGGCCAGCCCGGGGTGGGCTCGGGGAGCAGCATGGGACCAGGCAGTCCAGCCCTAACCCGGACCCCGCTGGCTGGTGGGCCGGGCGGTGTGGGCGCGAGTGGGCACGAAGACTCTGGCCGGTGCGGTCTGCTGGTGGCCAGGAGTCAGGGAGGGAGGGGAGGCCCAGTGGGAGCTGACAGGGCAGGTGGACTGTCCCCCGAGAGCGGAGCCCTAAGGCTTAGGGCCTGCCAGAGGCGCACAGGGCTGGAGGACAAGGCTGCCGCAGGGCCTGCCCAGGCCTGGAGAGGCCGGGCGGTGGCGGCAGCCTGGCCACCAGGGGACGCCATGGTGCTGGGCCAAAGCCCTAAGCTCTAGGAGGCGGAAGGTGCTCCCCTCCCCGGGTTCCTGTGCCCCGCCCCCCAGCCCCCACCTGCTCTTCCCGGCCCAGATGCTCAAGGCTGCCCGCTGCCCTGGTTCGTGGGCCGGGCTGGGGAGCACCGGGGGTCTCGCGTCTGCATCCCCAGCCTGCTGCACCCAGACCCCTCCCTGGGCCCAGCCCCCCGGCCCCGAGGGGCCCGGGCGAGGGGTCCCCGCATGCCCGTGGTGTCTGGCACGGCTGTGTGTCTGGACACACGTAGCAGCACGGACGAGGGACGATCAAGCAGGGAGACCCTTCCCAACGTGCCGGGCGCCCCGCCGCTGTCCCCCCCGCCCCGCCCCTGCCTGCCCCACCCCCTCGGGCCTCGCCCCACACAGGCCTCTGAGCAGGAAATGAACCAGCTCGCCAGGCTGCTAGAGCAGGGCTGGCAGGGGCAGCTGGTTTATTTATGTATTTTATTTACAAGGACCAAGAAAATGCAGAGCCGGGCCCAGCTGCCCCCAGCAGGCCTGTACTACGCAGGCCCTGGGGACGAGGAGTGGGCCTCGCCCAAGGCCCCATCTGCAGGCGGGCGGGTGGAGGTAGGGAGGGCACTCGCTCTCTCCAGAGGAATGAAATGATTTCTGGAAAATGCTGGTCCCCTGAGCTGGCTCAGGGCCTCTAACCTGGAGGCAGTGTTGAGCGATGGTTTCCAGATGGAGAAGGAGGCCCTCAGCCAGCCAGGAGGAGGAGGAGGGGGAAGAGGGAGGAAGAGGAGGGAGGAGGAAGGAAAGGGAGGAAGAGGAGGGAGGAGGAAGGACAGGGAGGAAGGGAGGAGGAGGGGGAGGAAGGAACCCATGTCCTGGAGACTGAGGCCCTGCAGGCCCCTGGGCGGGCAGGAGGGAGCAGGAGAACGCAAGGGCTGCCCGTCCCCGAGTAGAGCCTGAGGCCGCTGTGCCCGCACCAAGACCGGGCACTGGTGGGGGTGGCCCGTTCTTTCCCAGCACCTGGTGGGACTGGGTCTTGGTGCCAGCCCCGCCCACAGCCCCTGTCCGTGTGTCCATCTGTGTCTGCAGGCATCTCTCCATTCCACTGGTCATCGATTCTCCTGGGTGTCACTCTTCGCGAGGAGGCCCCTGGGTGGGGAGAACCCGGCCCCCCCCTGCGCCGGGCTGTGGACGGGCCAGGGAGGGGTGCTGTGTCAGCCCAGCCAGGGACGCATGGCCCGGGGCAGCGGTGCTCCACAAAGCCGGTGCAGAGGGGAGGAGGTGATGCGGACACATCAGCCCTCCGGACACCGAGGCTGTGTGGCCGGCAGCCCGATGAGCTGCCCAGAGCTCTAGGAGGAGACGTGGCGGGAGACCCAGTCTGAGGGTCCCTGGCATGCAGGTGGCAGGCCGAGTTCTGGGTGGGGATGATGTCCCCAGGGCAGCATATAGGCTGGGGATCCTAGTCTGGGGTGACCCTCTGAAACTGCCCACAAAAGAGTCCTGGGGCCTGTGAAGTGCATTTCTCAGGGGCGGGGTCTGTAAGATTCCCGGCTTCTGCAAGCGGGGGCTCAACAGCTCCAACCCCCCGACCGACAGAGAGAAGAGCACTGTGGGGGTGCTGGTGATGGAAAGACATTCCCCCCAGAGAACTCCCATCTCCAATATTGGGGTTCCAGGGGGGTAAGTCAGGGGACTGCACAGGGTCTGAAGACGGGGTGGGGGTGCTTCCCTGCCAGGCTCACCCTACCTCGGGGTGCCCCACCAGCTGTCTCTGCTGGGAACCTGTAGGCAGCGCCCCTGGCCAGGGCAGCGGGCAGCCCCAGAGCCACGCTGCACCCGCCTGGACCCTCCTGCAAAGGGGAAGTTTCTTCTCCCAGGGCCCATCCCCAGAAGCAGCCCCCCTGGGCGGGGGCTTCCATCATCCTGGGGACTCCCTCCCTCTCTGGGGGAGGGGACATGGCTCTGCCATCAACGTGCCCTCATGAGCCAGGATGGGAATGGGGAGAGAGTTCCCAAAAGGGCCAGAAGGGGTGGGAGGAGTGTGCCCCCTGCAGCCCATGGTGGGTCTCCCCCTTGGGGGGCAGCAGCCCGCGGGGAAGGCCCAGGCCTGCAGGTGGCCTGCAGGTGGCCCACTGGGCTACACACCGTGACCCATGCCTCCTCTGTCCCAGGGTTTCCTGTGCTTTGCCCTGGTGTTCAGTGCCCTGGTGCAGGTGGCCTTCTGGAGATTCCACAACCCCACCCAGGTGAGCACCCGGCCCCACCCCCATCACACAGCGGAGGGGTACCTGAGCTGGGAAAGTCGCCCCTCCACTGGGGAGAGACCATTCTGGGGGGACATCCTCTGCCTGAAGGGGGTGCACAGGGCCCTGAGGGCCAGACCTCTCTGGGGCTGGTGCAGGAGCTCCCAGGGAAGCAGGAGCAGGTGTGGACCTCCGACCCCCTCACCCCCAGGCCCCTCAGCCCTGCCCTCTGCTGGGCCCTGAGAGGGGCCGGGAGTTGGAAAGGGGATGAAGAGCAGGGAGAGGGGGGTCCCGGCTGACCTGAGGGATTGCTTAGAGGGGTCAGTGCTCCGGAAACTGCCCAGAAGGGACTGCGCTCCCGAGTGGGCCCTGCCAGTGTCCAGGCCCCAGGAAGACATCCTCCCTTCAGTCCTGGAGCGGGGGCGGCCCAGCGGGAGGCGGGTGCTGGCTATTGTCCTGGTCCCACTCCCATTGTGGGCTCTTCCCAGGGCTTCTGCGTTCGTGGTGACTGGGGTGGTGATGCCCACGGTCATGGTGGGGATGGACCCCCTGCAGGAGGTGAAGCCTGCCTTCCTTCCTTCCTTCCTTCCTTCCTTCCTTCCTTCCTTCCTTCATCTGTCCATCCGTCCTTCCATCCACTCAGCTGATGGTTTCTGGGTGCTGGCTGGCTCAGCTGGGTGTCGATGAATGTGAGAGGGCCCTTGTCCCATTTTGGGGGGTCGTGGAAAGCCCCAGCTCTGGGCTAACTCAGTCACGAGGGCCCCAGCCCCCAGAGCACATACGTGAGTGGGGCTCGAAGCCTGCAGGCCTGGGTGCTGACCCAGGGGAGCAGGGCAGGGCCGCAGCTTGAGGGGAGCCCCTGGGGCACAGGAGCCAGGACAGCCTGGCCCTCCAGAAATTCCGTCTGGATTCGGGGCCCTGAGATGAAGCCGAGAGCCAGCCTGGGGGATGGGGCTGGCCAGTGCATGTGTGGGGCTGGCCCCCTGCCGGACCAGGGCTGGGGCTCAAGGCCAGGCCCTCTGTCTGGGCAGAGCAAGTGGGGACCCAAGAGGCTCGGAGAGAGGGGCCCTGGCAGGATGGAGAGTAGGGGTGAGCTGCTAGCCCAGCTGCTCCCTGGCGGAGGCCAAAGGGACAAGGGCCGGGCCTTCCCGCAGCCCCCAGCCGTGGACAAGATCCCTTGAGAGCCCAGACCCAGTCGAGCCCCCCGGGGCGGCTGGGAAGCCAAGGGGCCAGCCGGAGGGGCCGCAGAGAGGGGCAGGAGAGCTGTCTTGCGTAGGCCCTGTCTGCCCTGAGTTTCCGTGATCCCCAGCAGCCCCTCCTCTCAATGGGCCTCAGTTTCTCCATGCGCTCCACAAGGACCAGCCCAGGGACACCGAGGCCAGTCTGCCTGAAACGTACTCGGCTTCTGGCAAAACACTGTGTGAGCAGCACGGGACAGGCGTGATTTCTTGCCTGTGTGTCTCAGCCCCCAGTGGCTCCAGCCTCTCTGTCCTCCCCCCCACCTCCCACCCCCCACCCCCGATGGTCATGCAGGAGCAGAGCCTCACAGGGGGCAGCTGGCTCAGGACACTGGGCCAGGTTCCTACTGTGTGCTTTTAGCTGTGTGATTACCCTCTCTGGTCCTGGCTTCCTGTGCCCCAGAAGTGGGCTCCGCTTCTCCCTCTCCATGCTCCTTGGCCATGAGGCCGGGTCACCAGGCCGAGCATGGCGGCCATGCCCTTGTCCTGCAGAGGAGGTACTCAGCCCTGGGGGGTGGGGAGCCAGGTCACGCTGGCAGAACCAGGCAGGAGGACCCAGGGGGATCCAGCCCACCATCCAGGGCCCTGAGTCAATGCCTCTTTTCCCTTCCCTGCCCAAGGATTTCCCCCAGACTGCCCACCGCCACCCTGGCATCATTTGGGGTCACCTCCCCCTTTCGTTACATTTCCTCTGGCTGCGAGGCTCTTGGAGGGGATTGGTGCCCCCGCAGGGTGACCTGGGCCCTTGGTGGGGCTGGCCAGCAGGCTTGCTCAAGGAGAGCCAGGCGGGCAGGCATTTCAGGCTCATCTTTCCATCCACTGATCTGGCCCCTTGCTGGTCTGGGTCACAGCATGGGTGGGCCCGCTCAGGACAGCTGCCAGGGTCCTGGGGGCCCCTGCGGCTCTCCTGGGACAGCTACAGCCCGTCCTCTCTTCTCTGACGCACTGTGTTTATAGCTGGAGCCCTAGATCCTGGGCTCTGCAGGGGAGGGGCCGTGCAGGGGCTGCAGGCCACGGGCGGACCAGCTGGGGATCCTGCTCTGAGAAGGGGAGGGGGTGGAAGCCAGACAGCTCCCAGCTGGGCCTCTTCTGTCCCAACCCCCCACCACCATCCCCCACGAAACCCTCCTGATCTGGTCCAGACTCTGACTGGCCCTTGGGGGTCGGTTCTCGGGGCTTTGCCCGACCCCTGATGGGGGCTGGGCCTCCTCCCAGGCCCGAGGCCTGGGGGGCCCCATCTGCCTCCCAGTGCGGTCTGTGTGCACGTCCAGGCCCCTGCGGGCACAGAAGTGGCCTGGTCACGAGAGCTCTGCCTCAGCCTGGGCTCAGCCTCCCCGCCTGGTACCCTCGGGCAACCAGCTGCCTTCCCAGCCTCAGTTTCCACCCCGGTGGTGGGGGGCGTGGAGACCCGAGAGGGGCTGGGCCAGTGAAGGGCTCAGTGGGACTATTACAGAGGTGTCTGGGCTTGCATGAGGGGGTGCCTTCCATCCTGGGCCTCCCCCGGGAACCTGAGCCTCGGGACCCTCCCAGCCCAGATATGTCCCAGCTCCAGGCTCCTTCGTTCTCCAGGGTCCTGCTGGCAGCCCGGTGACCAGAGAGATCCCAAAGGCCAACCGGTTCACTCCCACTGTCCCCCTGCATCTCTCTGGACAACCCCCCAAGATATCCTGAAATACGGGGTGCCGATGGCGGCCTGGGGCAGCCCTACAGACAGGAAGCCAGAGAATGCAGTCAGAAGGGACCAGCCACGTTCTTCTGTGGCCTCAAAGCAGGCCACAGCCCCTGGGTGGGCAGTGAGAGGGTGCCCCTGCCCCTCGCGGGGTTTTCTAGCTGCCACTCTCCACCCCTGTTGCTCTAAATCCATCCTGGGGGGCAGCCCTGGAGGTCTGAAGTCAGGCTCAAGGAGGGGGGACCCTGGCAGGGGACTCAGAGGTGGCAGGGGACTCAGAGGTGGCAGGGCCAGGGGGCCTCTGAGACCACCTGGTCCACCCCAGTTTTCTCCTGGGGAAACACAGATTCAGGCTCCTAGAGCACCCTCTAAACTCAGTAATAGGGGACAGATGCCCAGGTCTGTGAGAAGAGTCCAGCCTGGCCCCCACCGCCAGGCCCGGGAGTCTAGAGTGAGGGACGTGGCTTGGCAGGATCTGCGTCTTTGCCTGCAGCAGGGGCTCATGTCCCCTGCTTCTGGGGTGGTGGGGACAGACTCCAGGGCAGCACACTGTTCCTAGGCCAAGGTTACACTAGAGAGAGCTGGCCTTGGGGCACCCAGCTACTCCCGGGGCCCTAGTGGGGGGATGGAACCAGGAGGGTGGTCTGAGCTGGCCTCCTTGTCTCCGCCCCTTGCCCACTGACCCCAGGCCCACTCTACTGGGCCCCCAGCTTCCCCGGGCCCCCTCCCGTGAGGACACAGAGGCTTCGTGGTCTTGAGGCAACAGGCAGAGAGAGGGCCACTAGCCAGGCCCTGCAGCCCTGGTGGCCAGCCTGACGCCTGCCCTCCAGCCCAGGGCACTGCCCACCTCCCAGCGGGTTGGCTAGAAGCCAGCTGACCCAGTTCGGGATGGCTTGCAGTGCATGTCTCCACGGGAGGGCCAGTTAGTGCCAGGAGTGGGGGTGGGGGTGGGATGAAAGTCCCTCTGGTTCCTGTTGAGGCAGCCTCTGCGGCCCACCTACCCCGGTCCCCCAGGATGCCGGACGGAAGGCCACCCTTTCCGGGAGCGCGTGAGTGGCCGGAGCAGGCATGGGCATCGGTTTACCCGAGCCCTGGAGGGCAGCCCTGAGCAGCCACAGCTGTGTCCCAGCTGTAAGCTCAGCACAGCTCAGGGTGGGAAAAGGGGCAAGGGAGTGAGTGTTAGGGGTCTCTGGGAGGGGATAGGAGGCATCAGAGGGCAAGGGAGGCGCAAAGAAGCCTGGCCTGTGCCAGGAGACTGCTGAGTCCAGAGCAGTCAAGGAAGCCTTCCTGGAGGAGGTGAGATTCCAGTTTGTCTTTGGGGGACTAATTTGGCAAGGGTGGGCATTTAGGTTTGCGGGGAGTGGTGTGAGCAAAGGCAGAAGGAGGTGTGTAGGAGGGTAGAGGCAGTGGGGTCTGGGTGATGTTGGGGTGCTCAGTGAGGGCAGCACCCGGCCAGGCCCCTGGCCAATGCCTTCCTTCCCTACTATCTGCCTTGTCTGCCCAGAGCTGGCCCTGGACACCCATGGCTTCTTTGGTCAAAGGCCTTGCCTGGAGCCCAGCTGCCCGGGGTTTTTGGAACCCACCAGGTGGTTCTAGGGAGAGACGTAGACCATCAGCAGGGAGCTGAGCTCCTGGCAGGAGGCTTCTCCCAGCCTTCTCTGCCCAGGCCTGGCTGTCGGCTTTCCCTGTCCCACCACCCAAATGGACAGACGCAGGGTGGACTTTCCCTCGGCCAGGCCCTCCACACCCCGAATGACCAGCACTGGAGGCGGGCCGCAGGGCTTGGGTCTCTGGCGCGTCGTGCAGGAACCTGGCCCCAGCACGGGACTGGGACAGTAGTGGTCATTCTTGTTGGGAGGGGGCCCCATGTGGAAGTCTGGGGACCAGCCTCCCAGGAGACCCAGGTTCTGGCCTCAGGGGGCTCTGCCCAGTGGAAGGAGGAGGGGAGATTTTAGGACGGCACACTCGGGCCAGGCCCACCACTAGGGAGCCACGTCTCTCGGGAGGGGGCTTCACCAGCACGGAGGTCTTCCCACGATGCTCTTGGTGCAGGTGGAGGATGCTTTTCTGGACACCTACGACCTGGTGTATGACCGGGCGGTGAAGAACTTGTCCGGAACCCCGCGGCAGCAGCTGGCGGCCATTCAGGACATGGTGAGCATGTGGGGGGGTGGCCTCCCCCTCGCCAGGCTGGCTCCGGAACATTCAGCCTCCCCAGGTGGACTGCAACCCAGAAAATGGGTGTAGGGGTGGCCTGCCCCCAGAGTCAGCTGGCCCCGGGCCAGACGCTGAGCCAGGGGTCCCAGGACATAGGCCACTGACACCCTCTCGGTAGTGGGGAGGGCGGTACAAAGACCTCTTGTCTTCTCCCTCTGACCTGGGCAGGGCTGGCTACCTAATTTGGGGGCCAAAGCAACATGGAAAGGTTTCTTGTCCAAAACTGATTAAGAGCTTCAGGTTGGTGATGGCACAGCATGAAGCAAGGCCCCAGTGGCCACCGGGTCTCAGCCCGGGAGGCGGGCGCCAGCTGGTGCGCCATCCGCGGGCCGGGCGGTGGCTGCGCTGACAGCTGGGGTGGACAGTTACGGGCCCTCCTTTTATGGGGAAGCCACGGGGCCGGGAGGGCCGGGCCGCCTGGTGCCTGCCGCCCCCGCACGCGGCCCGGGCCTCTTGGGGCAGCTCTGCTGGGCGCCCCTCGCCAGTGGCCTCCTTGTGCTGTCCCCCGTCCGCCCCACCTTGCAGACGCATCCCTCCATACGTTCTTGCAGTTCCTGTGCTGTGGCAAGAGCTCTCCCTTCAGCCTCCTGGGGGACGCGGAGGCCGGTCTGTGTCGGGGAGAGCAGGCAGCCAGACAGGTGAGGAGGGGAGGCCCGGACCTGCACTCTCCCTCCCTGGCCTCCCCCGGCCCCGGCCCCCCGCTGCAGGACTCCTGGAGGCCGCAGTGAGGGCTGGACTTGGCCTCTTGCTCCCTTTGCTCTTTCATCCCTTCCGAGGCCAGGCCTACCCTCAGAAGCCTCCAGAAGCGCACGGGGAGGCCGAAGACAGACATTGGTCTGGAGGGGGCTCCTCGGAAGGAACCGGAAGGACATTCCACGGAAGGGACAGGGAGGGTCAGTGGCACGCAGAGCCGGGAAGTCCCTTCTTCCCCACGGCCCAGAGAGGAGCCTGGCACCTCTTCCAGCTTCCCCACCAGCCCTCCCCTATGCAGCCGCCTTCCCCGCTCCCCTCCCCTCCGCTGTCCGGGAAACAAACCCACCCCTATCTCTGGGCAAGAGGCTCCCGGCTGCCTTCCAAAGAGCAGACAGAAGGATGCAAATGGCTCCTGGCCCAGAAGGGAGGGGTGGGGGCAGCGGAGGGCCCAGCATGCCTGGGAGGGGGCTGAGAGCTTGTGCCTCTCAGGGAGGGGCCTCGAGTGCCCGTCTGCAAAGCAGGCTGAGGGACGGCTCTGTGGCCTTCCAGGACGGAGGGGTCCCCACCGTAAAGGCCACAGAGGGTGGGCATGGGTGCTGGAGCTGCCCCAGGGAGGGCATGGGAGCGGCTGGGGTGGTGTCCTGGAGGGTAGTCAGGCCCCCAGGCTGCCTACCGGGAGGACGTGTGGCCACACGGGGAGTAGGGGCTGATCAGGGGCTGCTTTCCCATGGGGCACCCAGGCCAGGCTGCAGGGTTGTGGCCCCGGGCTCCTGGGACCGTTTCCGGCTGCCCCTGGAGGCCAGAGGTCCCACCCTCCAGGCCAGCCGGTCAGTCCTGTGGCCCAGATGTGAGCAGGGGCGGGACTGCAGCCGGGGCAGAGGCCCAGGTAGCAGTAGGGAGGCTGGAGGGCCCAGCCCCTGTCCAGTGACAGGTGGACAGATGGATGCACAGACAGACGCCAAGCTAGCCTCCTGTCCCTCCCCATCCCAGCCTTCAGAAGAGCATCCCGAACATCCCACTGGGCCTGCCCCAAATGCCAGCGTCTTCCTGCGAATCAAATGCCACCATCTGAGTGGTTCAGAGATGGGACGGTCACCTCCCTTTTCCTCCAGAGAGAGCTTCTGTGGATGCCCTGCCCTGGGGAGGCACTGGGGTCAGGGATAGAGCAGGAGGCTGGGGCAGCCCAGGACCCCAGCCCCTCCACCAGCTATTTCTCTGCCCTCCCCTCGACCTGGGCCAGGGAGTGAGGGAGACCCGGCCTGCCCAGGGGAGCCAGACCCGTGACCCAGCCCAGGCAGGTCAGCGGGTGCCTAAGAAAGGCACGCGCTGGACCCTGGGGCAGCGACCTTCAGTCCCCATGGAGGCCCACTCCATTCCGCTGCTTTCCGCCTGTTTGTGATGCCTTCCCCCGGAGCTCTGGGGCGGTAGGTCGCACCACCTCAGCCCCCACTGACTTCCCATCACCCTAGCGCTCAGCCCAGGTGGGCACTAGAGGTCCTCACCCTGGGCGGGGGGGGACAGCCAGGGTGGGTGCCATGCGAGCTGCCCTCTGCTCAGGACTGCCTGGTGGGGATCAGGAGCTTCCTGAGGACGCACAGAAACATCGCCTCCACCCTGACCGGCATCGGCCTCGCCGCCACGGTACTCTCGCCCTCCCTCAGCACCCCTTCCCCAGCTGCCACCCCTCCACCCGTGGATCCCCCACCCCAATGGAACAGCAGAGGCCTCGGGGAGCAGCAGGGCTCCCCGTGCACTGGGAGCCAGAGAGGAGGCTGCTGACCCCAGGGAGGCAGCCTGGCAGGAGACAGTACCTCACCACCTTCCCGAGACCGCTGGGAGCCCCGCAGAGCCCAGTGCCTCTAGGGCGGCCGTGCGCCCCTGCCCGGGAGCCGCAGGCGCTGATGCTGACAACCCGTCCCTCCCAGGTGTACGCGATGCTGCTCAGCTCCTTTCTCTGGTTCGCCATTCGCTCTGGCAGCAGCCTGGACCGCAAGGGCAAATACACCCTGAGCCGGAGGTAGGCCCCGGCCTGCCCCCGCCCCCGCGCACCCCATCCCCCAAGGGGCAGAGGCCAGCAGCAGGCGGAGGTGGCCGGGTGCTCAGGCTGGCTCCCTGGCCACTGGAGGGGGTCCCCGGCGAGTTGCACGCACTCTTACAGCCCCACAGGGACCCCCCTCCCTTCACCCCACTCCCCACCTAGACCTGACCTCATGAGTGCGCCCCAGGGAGGACCCAGACCCAGACCCCCAGCCCCTGTGCCCTGGCCTTCTGGGCCCCTCCCTGCCCAGGCATCCTGCCCGGCCCCCGTGCATTCTAGAACATTCTCACAATCCCCTCTGCTTCCCAGAGTGCCCAGCTGCCAGCCCCAGGAGCCCAGCTTCTTCAGACGCTCCCAAGGGAGCCCCAAGCTTCAGTCCCCGACTGACGCAGATGTTCTCCACGGCCGCCCGGGTGCAAGTGGACCCTCGGGGGGCCCTCGGCTGCTCTAGGACGACTGACACGTTTGAACCGCCCGTCCCACCACCTGAGTGCTCACAGAGGCTCAGTCGGCTCAACCGCGAGCCTTACAAGGACAATGTGAGGTGTTTTCTGCCACGTGGCGGAGGGACGGGGGAGGAGGAGGCCAGGCTGTTGGCGGAACACCGAGGGCCCCTCCTTGATGGCCATCAGTGGGGACGGTCCTCTGTTCCCTAAGACCACATCCTTTGCATGAGAGGACTTCACCTGCAAGGCAGAGAGGGCACGCCCGTCCTTCCAACCGCCCCTTCCGTCTGGCGGGTGAGCGCTTTGCTTTCAAGGGTCTCTGTGGCTGCATGAGGTCCACTGGGAACCTCCATCTCTCAGGCAGCAATCTCACACTTCCAGGGACACTGGGCTCACAGGTGCAGGGCCCGAGGCAGGACCTGTGGTGTGAGTGTGGGAGGACACTGTAGAAATCCAGTAGCCAGGCGCTCCCCCTGGACACCCGAACCCCCTCTCTGATAAGTGCTCCTACTGTCCCTGAGGCTATGCACCCTCTGCTAAAAATTCCAAGCCCCCAGCAGGACGAACAAAGGGGGGTCCCCCCAAAACAGAAGGACCGTTCTGGCACAGACAGCCAAAAAATTGACGATGTAACAAATACCCACCCCAGTCCTCCCCTTGTGTTTCCAATCACACGCGTGCACGCACACGCACACCTCCGAAAGCAAGCATGTTGGTGTGCCTAATGGAGCAGCAAAAGTAGGGCACAGGGGGCAGCAGCAGACCTTGTCCCCCCGACGAGGATGCCCCAAATCTCGTGGGTCCTGCGGTGGGGGACAGTCGGTCTCTGGCCATGCGCACCACCCACCCCCGGTCCTGTTCTGCTCAGCTTGCCTTCTACGGCTCGCAAAATATATTTTAATGATACCAACTAGCAAAGCTGGCGTCCTCTGCACAATAACGGTGGAGCAAAAGGAAAGAAAAGGGGATTTGGTGAAATTCTGTGAACCAGCAACTCGGCGGGGTGGGAGTCTCCAGATGGTTACTAAGAGATCGGAGGGAGAAAACAGACATGGGCGGGACAGGACAAAGGCCCTAATACAGCACCATCGAGGCTGGGCGGGCCGAAGGGACGGACGCCCTGCTACTGACCTGCTGGGACACCAAGGACACCAGCATGGAGGAAGACGAGCAGCAGGAACAAAGATCACTGAGAGCAGACCCGGAAGCACCTGGGGCGATAATCAGCCGCCTGATCCAGATAAAGGTTGACGGAGGGCTGCGGTCCGGGCTCCACCCTCACTGGGGGGCAGAAGAGAAGCCCCCCAGACTCCCTGACGTGGGCACTGTGGCAGCAAACCCACGGCCAAGCCTGACCCGCCGCCACTGGACCCGGAGAAGGCCACGCGCACGTCCACGGCCAAGTCTGACCCGGCCGCCACTGGACCTGGAGAAGGCCACGCGCACGTCCACAGCCAAGCCTGACCCGGCCGCCACTGGACCCGGAGGGGACCACGCGCACGTCCACAGCCAAGCCTGACCCGCCGCCACTGGACCCGGAGGGGACCACGCGCACGTCCACAGCCAAGCCTGACCCGGCCGCCACTGGACCTGGAGAAGGCCACATGCCCAGGTGGGCCAGGTTTTGGGAGCTGGAGAGTGTGACAGGCCTCATGAAAGCTGTCTCCTCTTTTCCCGGACCGTGTTCTGGGGATGGACGTCTGCCTGGGGGTGTCCCCCACCCGGTGCCAGCAAACAGCGGGCACGCAGCCGCACTGCTCGAGCAGCGTCCATGGGGCCTGAGGCCACACGGGGTAGATGCAGGCGCCTTCTCTGGCCACAGCCCCATGTGGACCCTCAGCAAGGGTTTGCAGCAAGAGCTTATGGGCGCCTCCCGGTGACAGCCACGGGGACTGCGAGCAGGAGAAGCTCCATCTGAGGGGCATTATTACCTTGTTACCAGATGCTAACTGATGGTGGAAAAGCGCTCTCAGGGGGATGGCAGGGATGGTGGTGGCTCATATGGCCCCCGTGCCGCCCAGGAGGTGCCGGGAGGCGGTGCCGCAGAGAGCCTCTCCTCCCCGGGGCAGGCTCCGGGACAGTGGGAGGAGCGGCCTGATTCTACCCAAACAGGTCTCGCCCAGCGACCAAGAGCTGCTGGGTCGCAGGCGGCAGTTCCACGGTGAACAGACAAGGCTCTGTTTGGAAGGCCCCGGTGGCGCCGATGGAGGGAGCCAGCAGCCGGTCAGCTCTGTGGGCCGCCCTGCGCACTGCTTTCCCAGCCGCGAGGGGAGAATTGAACTGTTGGGAGAAGCCCCGCGTTTGGTTTCTGAGGACTCGTGGCCAGTGGCCAGCGGCCCGGCCGTATGGCCCAGTGGGCGGGTGACGGGACCGGGCCTGTGGAAGGATGCTGGCGCGCGGCACGGCCCGTGGGAATGACCGTGGGAACTGCAGCGGTGCGCGAGAGGACACGTCAGTGCCCATCGCAGGGGTTCCTTCCAGTTTGGAAGGTGACGCATCTGCAGGCGGATATCCCTGAGGGCTCCCCGGAGGAGGTCGTGGGGGCGGCAGTGCAGAGGTGGACAGAGCCCAGACACATTCCTGGGGCGCTCGCAGAGGCACCAGACGCCAAGAAGCGCGGTTCTGGCTGCCTCTGGAGAGAGACGGGTGCCGAGGGCCTGCTGGGAAGCCCCAGGCACAGATGGCTGGTGACGCTGAGACTGCCTCCGAGGTCCCGGGGCCACGGGCAGGTCCTGGCAGGAGGGACACAGACTCTGGGCTGTGCTGACCGGCGGTGGACACAGGTGCTCAGGGTGCTTCTGGAGCAGGGCACAACGCCCCGATCTGGGGGGCGGACCGTCCTTTCTTCAGCCCAGGAGCCTCTGTCCACAGCCCCCGGCGTCCGAGAGCCCTCCCCTCAGAGGACCCGTGCGATGGAGAAGGAACAGGCAGCGAAAGCAGCGTCTGTGCAAAGCACGAGGGCCTTCACGCACGTGGGCTCACACTCAGCACCACTGGGACGCACGGAGAGCCCCCCCGCCCCCACCATACAGCGTGTGCTTCTGGCGGGTCTGGGGAAGGGCTGCTGCGGGGACACGGGCGTGGTGACGGTACTCCTCTGTTTCCGCCCAGATGCACCTGCCCACGAGAGCAGGGCCGCAGCCCCGGGGGCCAGAGCCGGGCGCTCCCCAAGCCAGAAACGGTAGCGAGGTCTTTAAACCTAGCGCCGGAGCTCCTGACGAGGCGGCCTAGCCCTCACCCCATCTGGCAGAGCGGGGTTCGTAGTGAAAGCCGCTCCGTTGTCTGGTAGTCGGACGGGGGTGGACGGAGGGGAGGCGCTCCTGGTGCAGGGAGGCTTGGCGGCCAGGCCGGGGGCCCTTCCAAAGACCACAGACGGAGAGACAGGACAGTAGTAGCTGAGGGTCTGGGGACGAATAATGAACACATAACAGCGAATGTGCAGATCACATCAAGAAAGCGAGAGACAGCACTGCCTCTTGGCCCCCGACACCGGGAGCCCTCGAGGACCGGCTGTGTTTGGCCGGGTGTGCTCCCACCTTCAGAGCCTGCAGACCTGGGCCGGGCGGCCCGGGAGAGGTCCTCACAGGGCACGACGACAACAGACCGGCCCTAGTCTACTACTCTGCCAGTAGCCTGTGACCTTTATGATCATTTTCCTATAAAGGATCTGGTCAAAGACCAAGGGGTGGCCAGTGACATGATTGAAAATGAATATTTGGTCTTTGTTCCAGTTCGGGCCACAGAGTTCGTACAACTCTTGTCATGTCTAAAGTAGTGACAGTATCTTGGGTGTGTCCCTGGGATGACTGGTGACTTCGGGACAGAGGCCCATCTCCGAGGGGTCAGGCGTGCAGAGAGCCCTGGGGAGTGGGGAGGACGGGAGGTCGAGTCACTCGCCCAGGTAATCACCATGCCCACCCAGGGGAACCACCAGGCAGTCTCCGAGCCGCTGGGAGCTGGTCGGTGAACAGGTGCGGGTGTCTGGAGGGGGGCACCCAGAGAGCACGTGGATGCCCCGCGGCCCTTCCCCGGCACCTCGCCGCCCACAGGCCCTCCGTGGGGCTGTTTCTGAGTTGTATCCTTTCTAATAAATAGGTAATGGCAAGGGAAACCCTTTCCTGTGCTCTGTGCGCTGCTCTGGGACATCGTGGAACCCGAGCAGGGATCACGGGAACCCCCCAATTTCCAGAACACAGCCTGGACTTGCAATTGGCGCCTCCAGTGGGGGCCGCCCTGGGGGGCTGAGCCCTTCACCTGTGGGGTCTGATGCCGGCTCTGGGCCAGCTGAGTCAGAGTCGGCTCGCAGGACCCCAGCTGGTGTCCAGAGACTCAGGGAATCTGTTGTCGCTGTTGGAAAGCAGGCCGCAGGGGCTGTTGTAATAAGGCCGCCCGGGCCACGTGCATGCACCCACGTCCATCCTCAGACCAGTCGGAACCTGCCCACCGGATACTAGAGTCCCACACCCACTTCCCCTCCTGGGGAACCTGTCCTGTCCCTTCTTACCTCCTAACATTTTTCATTGCTTTTGTGTTTCGTGATCCAATTTGCCAGACTGCTGGTTTTATTTGCCTCCTCGGGGTAGCTTCTGGCTGGGGACCCTCCCCACCGCACACCTCCCCGCCACCACTTCACTGCCCTCTGCCCTCCACTGTCTCCACTGGGTGGGTTCTGTGGTGCTACTTCCAGCTTCTGCGGCTGGAGGCTCAGCTCCCGGACCTCAGTCCCGGGTGAGCGCCAAGACCCTCTGCCTCTTCCCCAGCCCCTCTGCTGCAGCCCGCGAGGTCTGAAGGTCACTCTTTCAACATCGTTCGCTTCTAGGTATTTTAAATTTTCCACTGTGATTTCTTCTTGGGCCCTCTGGTTGTTTAGAGTAAATGTTTTAGGTTCTCTTGCTCTCGAGTGTGGCCTGTGTGATTCCGAGTCCTCCGCCCTAGCAGAGACAGTCTCATCGTGGGCGTGGGGGGCCGGGCTCCGGGGCACGCCGGTGGAGGACAGCCCATGCCAGGCCCCACATTCTCTGTCCGCAGAGTGCCCCGGCCAGCCTGGCCCAGCTCTCCTCAGGCTGTGGCCAGTCTTGGCCACGTGACAGTAAGCACCCCCTCCTTCCTGGGGTCAGCTGAGGACTCTCACCGCACTGCAGGCTTTGACCCACTCCTGAGCTCCAGAGACAGGCCCAGGTGCCAGGAGGAGAAGCCCACGCCCCTTGCCGCATCCCTGCCCGCCATCCCTTATCGGGCCCCACTGCTGCCCTTCCAGCGCCCCGGCTCGGGCGGTCAGCGGCTTCCCAGGCCTTCCTTGTGACCCCTCCCAGAACAGCCCCTCTGGACTCCCCAGAAAGGGTTCTTGCAAATTCTCCAGAGGCTGCAGCCAGATCTTCTCAGAGGCTCTGCTCGGCATCTGTCCCCCAGGAGCCTTCGTGTGGCAGCCAGCACCCACCCCCCACTCCGACCCAGGGCTATAAGGATCCAAACTCAAAAAATGCCAAAGGAGTAGATGGGAGACTCTGAGAGGCTAGGTGTCAGCCCAAGAGCAGCTGCCGGCTGATTAGAGGCAGAGCCCCGAGATCTGCTAGCTACCGCCTCCGCTCTGGCCTCAGCCCTGGCGCTGCTGGGGTCCCCCTGGGCACCGTGGGGCCGTGAAATATCGGGGTGTCAGAGCCTCTGGGCTCTGGGGGGGGAGCCTCGCCCTCCCCGCCTGCCAGGCCCACTCAGGTCCCATCCCTGCAGCCCAGCCTGACGGACCCTTCACAGCCCCTGCAAGGGTGGGTCCTCAGAACCTTCCATGGAGGGGGACAGGTCCTCCCCGAGGTGCACCCTGACCTTGGCCACAGGCAGACCCTTGCTCTGTTTACCCAGCTGGGCCCTCATCTGCCCACCAGACAAAAATAGCCCAGAGCCCCGCGTGGGGCAGTGGCAGCGGCCGGTGAGGGAGGGAGACCCCCGGGGTGCGGGGCGACAGCCGGGCAGCACCAGGGACGGGGAAGGCGGGGCGGGAGCCAGGGTGGGGGCTGCGGTCCCGGCCCAGCCTGTGGGCGAGCTCCTCAGCCCCGCTATTGTTTAAACGAACGTGTGGGCTATTACTTTCTAAACAAGATTTCCAAAAACTTTTATTTCGGACATAATGAGTATTTCCATTGCTTAGGACAAGGCAAACCCACGTCCCCCAGTCCGTTATTTCAGCTGCTTGGGCTTCCCATGAGTGTTAGACTTGGCTGAGTGTCCCTAGCATGTCTGCCGCGTGCTTCTGGAAGCATCCACGGCCTTCTCTTGGTAGGAGGTCCACGTTTCCCAATCTCCTCGTTTCCCGCCAGGTATTCCATTTTGCGTTCTTCGTAAAAGCTGGATGGGGACAGCGCGCAGTCAGACAGCCTGCGGCGTGGCTCCTCCCCGGCGTCTGATGCCCAGAATCTCCGCAGCGAGACAAGCTCCAAGCTGCAAGGGAAGCGAGCGAGGAGGCACGCGTGGACACATGCACGTGGACGTGCACGGGCGTGCGTACGGGTGTGTGCGTGTGTATGTTGGGCGGCAGGACATTCCACGCAGAGGAAGCCAAACGTCCAGCTGCCTGAAGGTGAGGGGCCACTGTATCAGAGCCACAGAAGCGGCCACAGAAGTGGCGTGTGGTGTGTCATGGTGCCACGTGGTCCAGGAGCGGAGGCAGGTCGGACGCCATCGGGCTGGTGTGGTCTCGAGTGTGTGGCACAAGGGAGACGGGACAAGGTGATGTGCCGGGTCTGCTGTCTCTCCCTGGCCAGGGGCACATGGGCAGGAGTGGCCCCTCCAGAGCCCCTGCCCCGTCCCACGGTGCTCCCTTCCCCTCGCATGGCGACCCTGGAGGCCTCATGTCCCCCGGGCGTAGCTCAGGACGGAGCCAGACTGTGCCACGCGTGGCTTAGCAGAGCCAGGGGAATGTTGGGGTTTATTTGCTCTCGTGTCTATCTGCCACGCGGATGGCAGCCGCCAGGGGCTCTCCCAGACAGGCCTTACCCGTCTTCGGATCTTTGCCTTGCCTGCCCCAACTCGGGCGCAGCATTGCCTCAAAAAGCTTTTAGGGGCGCCTGGGTGGCTCAGTCGGTGAAGTGTCTGCCTTCGGCTCAGGTCATGATCCCAGGTCCTGGGGTCGAGCCCCGCATCGGGCTTCCTGCTCAGTGGGGAGCCTGCTTCTCCCTCTCTCTCTACTGTTCCCCCTGCTTGTGCTCTCTTGCTCTCTCTGTCAAATAAATAAATAAAATCTTCAAAAAAAAGCTTTTAAAATTCCGGCTCTGGAGGCAGCTGGCTTTCCAACCTTGCAAAGTTCTGAATTTCTGGATACGTCTCCATGTTTGCTGTCATTTCTGCACGCAAACGGGGCCTTCCTCCTTGAGCCCGTCTCTTTCTTGTCCTGCTGAGTTACCTCCTACGGCTCTCGGGGAATCCCGCCAGCGTCACACAATCCCCCCCCGCCGTCCCAGCCTCTGCCACTGGGGGTTACTGCAAGCGGCCTGGCTGCCAAGCTGATGTCACCCCCAGTTTAGGCTTCGGGGTTATTTGTTACCACAACATAACCTGGTCTATCCTGACAACTACAGAAATAGGGTCTCTGCAGCAGGGACCTGCCATTAAAAAACGCTTAAATTAATGAATACCCACCGGACCTCCACGGGCACGACGGTAAGCTTTGCAGCTCACATGATTGGGCTCAGCTTGACTGGTCTTGGACGGGCTCATTCCCATGGTGGGGAGTTGGCCACTGTCAGCAGGTCTTGGCGGCCTTGGGGGGCACTCAGCCCCGCTCCATGCCTCTCTTCCTCCAGAAGGCAGGTCTGGGTATGTGGCCCCATGAATGCAAAGGCCGGTCACATGACTGAGTTCCAACCAATGGCAAGCGGGGGAAGTGAGGTAAGCTCCTTGCTTCTTTCAAGGTGACCCTGGAGGGCACATGTTCCCAAAGACAGTTGGAAGGTGACCAAGAGCTGGTCCACTCCCATGAGGCCACAGAGCTCGAGCCCTGGAAGCCCGGGCGAGCAGCAGACTGCCCGCGAGGAGGAGGGTGCGTGTCGTGAGCATGGGGCCACCTGGAAGGACGGGGCGTGCTGCCAGCTTGGCGTTTGCAGTCTCAGAAGCGAGGCCGTTGTGAGGCTGACGAGGCCCAAGGGGAGGCTGTGGGCTCACCTGCAGTGGAGGGAAGTGGAGTGGAGTGGAGGGAAGTCACTGGACGGAGGCCGGGTGGCGTGGAGTGGCTTGTCCCCAGGGAGGACACGGAGACTGGGTCCGGGAAGCAGAGCACGGGCCGGTCTCCTTGGATGCGGCCCCTTGGCACAAGCTCCCGTGCTGAGGGCAGGCTCCTGGAACGATTCCAAGGGCACAGCATTTCCATCAACGTTCTCTGGAGAAGCAGAAGCCATAGCGGAGGTTTGTTGCAAGGGATGGGCTCATGCGGCGATGGAGCCTGAGACGTCCCGAGATCTGCAGTCGGCAAGCCGGGGGCCCCGGAGAGCCAAGGCCGTGCGTGCTGGTTTACAAGCCCAGAGGCTGGAGACCCAGCAAAGACCAACATGTCTGCATGTGTCTGAAGGCAGGAAAAGACTCATGCGCCGGCTCACACAGGCAGGCAGGAGGAGAGCCCTGCACTCAGCCTTTTTGTGCTAGTCAGGCCGTCCACTGATTGGGTAAGGCCCACCCACGCTAGGGAGGCCAATGTTCTACTCAATCTATGCATCCTAATGTTAATCTCATCCAGAAACACCCTCACAGACACACCCAGATTAATGTTTGTCCAAATGTCTGGCCCTCCGTGGCCGGTCAGGCGGACACACACAGTTAAACCTTGCACAAGGCTTCTGTCCCCGTAATGGTGTGGGTTCCACCCGACCTCCCCCTGCAGGAACACAGCATTCAGTTCCCCGCTGACAGGGAGGAAGCCACAGAAGCTGGGGGTGTCTGTCGGAGTCCAAGCCCAAGTCTGCTCCCTCATGGGGAAAGAATATTCAGTTGGATACGTGTGTTAGTGTCTGAGCTCTCCCCTGAGATGCAGGGTTTAAGCCCCTTGTGAGGCTCCTGGAACACTGCTAAGTCCTTGCTAGACGGTTCTCCCATCACCTTCTCTGCTAACTCTCCCTCTGCCTCCCTCGTGGGCCTCGTGCTGACGCCGGGCCAGATCGCCCCAGCTGAGGGTCCTTAATCACACCTGCAAAGCCTCCTTGGCCGTCAAAGGGGACATTCCCAGGCCCCAGGGACTAGAATCCGGGTATCTCTGAAGGCCACTCTGTAGCCGACACAGCCAGAAACCCCACCAGCTGTCTGTGTTTTATGGGCGGCCCCAGAAGACACCCCACTTGCCGAGGCAAGGAAGAAGATGCTGGTGACCTGCGCCGCTGAGAATCCCATGGAGGCCAGTCGCTGGAGGCCAGGCCGAGGGCAGGAGGTGCCCCTTCGGAGCTGGACTCTGAGGGCAGTCGGGATGGTGGTGCCCAAGCCAGCAGAGGCCGGCAGCTGACCCTTAGAAGCAAGGACGGGGTGCTGTCCCAGGAGCAGCAAGCCCGAGAGCCCGGGGCTCCGTGACCGGCAGAGAGCTCTGATCCAGTCAGGGAGACGCGGCTGTCTTGGGGCGAGACCCACGGGCAGCCAGGAGGGTCCTGCTCCAGCTCCCATCACAAGAGGCCAAAGATGTTTGCTGGGGAGGCTGAGAGCAACTGCCTTGTTACTGGCTGAACCGTGCGCCCCAAATTCATATGTGGAAGTCCTGACCCCCAGCACCTCAGAGCCTGCCCATGTTTGGAGACAGGTTCTTTAGAGGTGATTCGGGTAAAACGAGGTCCCTGGGGTCGGGTTATTCCACGTGTGGGTGCTGTCTCTGGGGAAGATGGACCTGTGGAAGGGTGGGCCAGGCCTCCCTGGGTCCCCAGGGGCAAAGAATTGGGGGGGAAGGGCAGGCTTGCTCTCTGCCCCGTCTCTGCCCGGCTCATGGTCTCCCGTCTCCGGACGTGGACTGAAACGTACTCGGTGGGCGCTCCCAGTGCTCAGGCCTTCAGATCGCCCACCTTGGGACCTGGCAGCCTCCATGACCACAGGCGCCAATTCCCTCTAATCCATCGCTCTCTCTGTGTATTTATCCCACTGGTCCTGATTCCCTGCAGAACCCTGACCAGCACAAAACTCACCTGAGTCGCACGCAACTTGCAGCTGCTGGGGCAGCCCTGGGTCTCTGCCCGAGCAGATGGCATGGCCTCGGGGTGTGGTTCGGGGCCAGGCATCTCCCGAATGGGTTCTGTTCCTCCCCCGAATGGGTTCTGTTCCTCCCCCGTCAAGAAGGCATCGTGGACGTTTCCCCCAGCCCTGGGGAGGAGGCACACGGGCGGACCTATAGGGGTGGCCATGAAAGGCAGGGGTCTTAGGAGCACGAGTCCGTGTCCAGCAAGTGAGGCATGGGCAACCAATACACAGAATGGGCTCTGACCTCGGCCACTCAGATGCGGCCCCCTGGGCCTCTGAGCAGAGCAACCTTGGCGATAGACGAGGCAGGCCCTCCCATCAAGCCTGCCCCCCAGGCCACTGCCGGGTGCCTGCTATGACACCATCCCTCTGGAGGCCAGCCGGTCCCTTCAGAGACCTCCACCTGCAAGGGGCAGCCGTGCGTCTTCGGTGGAACGGACGCACAGGCCAGGCTGGTCTTCCCCGAGCACGGAAGCTCATCCAACCCGCCTTGATGAGGGCTTACAGGGTGTTGGATCGACCAGCACAGGACCCACCTGCAACTGCCCGGACCCAGGGACTCGACGTCCAATGTGGCAGGAGGGGCGGCAGTGGGCCCGTGGCCATGCAGACTGTGGAACGGTGAGCGGAGGCCCCAGCTCCTCCCCCAGGACCAATCAGGGTGCCATAGAGGACTTCGGGAAGCACTGTGACCAGGCCCTTTCAGACTGGCCAGCACCACACGGTGCTGCCCGTGGATCCCTGAGTCTCACCTGAATCTCCTGGGGCAGCCATAACCTAGTAGCACGGACCAGCGGGTATAGACAGTGGACCTTTATTTTCTCGAAGTCTCAAGGCTGGGAGTCCAAGACCCAGGTGTGGGTGAGGGAGAATCTGGTCCAGGCGCCTCCCCCTGCTGCTGGCGGGTTGCTGGCCATCTTTGGGGTTCCTGGGCTGGTAGAAGCATCACCCTGATCTCTGCCTTCCCCTTCACACTCCTTTCTCCCTGTGTCTGTCTGATTCCCCTCGGCCTGCTGCATCCACCAAACAGGACCTCCGGGGCCTGGGCGTCCCCAGCCCCCATCCCGATTGTCCCAGCGTGGGCATTCCTGAGCCCAGACAAGCTTCAGAGCTCAGCAAGACCCTCCCTCAACCAAACTTCCCATTCTCCATCCACCTGACCTGGACCGTCTTTGTTTCTGCCCCGATTTCCCTATTTTGCACCCACCAGACAAAGCCAAATATGCCTTCCAAATCAAGCACACGGGAAGCTCCTCTCTTGGCTGGCCACCTCCATCTCCCCCAGGCCACAGCCTCCAATCAGAACCCACTTGAAACTTCCCCATTTTCAGCCTTACAGAGATAGAATCCACATACCATAAAATTCGCTCATGTAAAGTGTATATATAGTTTGGGGCACCTGGCCAGATCAGTTGGTGGAGCACGCGACTCTGGGTCTTGGGGTCGTGAGTTTGAACCCCACGGTGGGTATAGACATTACTTAAAAAAGTTTTTTTTAATCTTTAAAAAGAATTACAAGATAAAGTGTACAGTTCAGTGGTTTTTGAGTTTTGGTTTTGGTTTTTTTTAGCACATCCACGGCGTTGTGCAACCATCGCCACCGGTCTAACGTCCACTCGCCCGCCAGTGGGCCCTTGGCCGCTTCCCGCCTTCGGCTGTGCAGGTTTCTGTTTCTCTTGGAAGCATCTGAGGGGAACTGCCAGGTCACACGGTGACTCTAAGTTTAGCGTCTGGAGGAACTGTTGCTATCTCTCTCCCCGCCAGCCAGCCGGGCCCACTTCTCCATACCCTCACTACCCGCGCTCCCCTCTGTCTCTTTTATGGGGGCCTTTCTGGTGGCCGTCCAGGTGGGCGTGAAGGCATACCCCCCCGCGGCTCTCCTGGGCATCTCCCTGGCGACCAGTGACACTGAGCATCTTCCCGTGTGCTTAGTGGCGATCTATGTCTTCGCTGAAAAAATGTTGATTCAGATCCTTTGTCCATTTTTTAAGTTGGGTTATGGGGGGGGGCATTGTTAAGAGCTCTTCTCATGTCCTAGATCCTCGTCTATTACCAGATCTATGATATGCAAATTTTTTCTGCCATCTTGTGGGTTGTCTTTCCACATCCTCCGTGATATCCTTGGACGCGCCAAGGTTTTCAATTTTGGCCGGGTCTAACTTGGGTGTTTTTTCTTATTTTGCTTGTGCTTTCAGTGTCAGAGGTAAAGAACTATTATCTAACAGTCAGGTCCTACACTGGGGACCGTGACCCATCTGAGCTCATTTTGAGTTGATCTTTGGGCATGGCAAGGGGTGGGGCCCCTCGGCTCTGTGGCGTGTGAACATACACCCAGCTGTCCCAGCACTGCGGGTTGAAAGGACTGTTCTTTCTCTCTCGCTGATTCGTCTCAGGGCCCCCGCTGAAACCAACCGACCAGGAAAGTGGGGTGTGTTGCTGGGCTCTCGAGCGTGCTCCAGGGATCCTGGGTCTGGCTTCACGCCGGGCACCACGCTGTCCCAACGACCACAGCTTTGCACGAGTCCAGCAACTTTGTACTTCTTTGAGGTTGTTTGGGCCCCTCTGAGGCCCGGGCGGTCCCCTGTGGACTCTAGGATGAGCTCGTGAAAAGCCCGCCGGGGTTCTGACAACGATGGCGTGGAGGCCGCGGGTGAATCCGGGGAGCTGGGGCACGGCCACAGCACGGAGTCTTCCGATCTGAGAACCCTGGATATCCGTCCACGCAGTTAGACCTTTTTCAATTTCTTTCCAGGGTGTTTTGTAATTTCCAGCGTGCAACTGTTACACTTCTTTGGTTGAATTTGCTACTGGGTATGTTGTTCTGTTTGCAGCCATTAAGGTGGGACCGTGGTGGGACCGTCTCCGTGACTGCGCTTCTGGACGGTTTGTCGCTACTGTAGTTGTCAGCTGCTGTGTTTTGTTTTTTAAACTTTCTTTCTTTTCTTCTCTTTCTTTTTAACTACAAAGCTGCTCAGCTCCGGGCCGGCCCTCCTGTCTCTGCAGATGCAGGGACGGTGTAGCGCACTCCGCATGAACAGCCTGTTGGTTTTGTTGGGGAGGTTCTCGTCGATTCCCACAGGAGGCCAAGGGGCAGGGGCGGGGTTCAGCGACCCCCCCACGAGAATGTGTGCTCCGCGGGAGCCGTGAGCTCGGGCCCCCGCCGCTGTGCCTGCCTCTTGGTCCAGCAAGCCTGAAGGAGGCAGAGCCCTTCCGCCTCCCCCAGGCCAGGCCCTGCCCCACGTGCCTGGGCGCGTTCTCCCGTGTCACCCACCCGAGAACACTGGGAGCCGCACTGCCACAGATGGGGAAACTGAGGAACCAGCATGAAGTTGCACAGAAGACTCGGAGCCAGACCCAGGGGGGCGGCGAAGGCCGACTCTTCTTGCCAGGGTGCCCACCCTATGGCCATCGCACCACCAGCCCCACCGGCCCTCAGGACAACCAGCCCCTCTCAGGACGGGGCTCTCCCCGTCCCAGGCACAGGCAAGCCTGGGACGCCCCTTTGGACGCCCACCTGCCCCCATCGCTCCAACCTGGGTCATGTCACCACTGCCTGTGATGTTCAGCGTGGCGTGTCATGGGGACTGGCCGCGGGGTGCCCAGACGGGACGTTGTTTCCAGGGCCGTCTCTGGGAGGGCGTCTCTGGACGACCTGACCTGGAATCGGTGGACTCAGCCAGTAGATGGCCCTCCCCGGTGCAGGTGGGCCTCACCCAGTCCACTTGAGGCCTGGGTAGACCAGAAGGTGGAGGAGGTAGGACTTCTCCCCCTGCTCCTGCCTCAACCCTCGAGCCGGGACGTCTCATCTCACCTTCTCCGGCCCTCGGACTGGGACTTACACCGCCGGCTCCCTGGCTCCCAGGGCTTCAGGTTCTGCTGAATCACCCCACCAGCCCTCCTGGGTCCCCGGCTTGCAGGTGGCAGACGGTGGGACATCCCAGGCTTCCTGAGCACCTGCGCCAGTCTGTAACCTGAGCCTCCTTCTGTCTCCTCCTGCTGTGTCTCTGGAGGACCCTGAAACACGGCTGGCGGGTCCCCTGTTGTCCTCGCAAGGTCAACTGGTGGGGGGCCACTGGGCAGGGCACTTCGGAAGTGGACCCGGGGCAGAGCCCATCTGTGCTAGGCAGCCAGAGGTGGCCCCACACACCCTCGTGGCCCACTTTCCCAGTGAGCCCCAGGTGCTGTTGGTGCCGGCTCTGCTGTGGGGCCGAGGCAGCCAGCTGACATCTGTGTCCCCATTCGACGCAGGAACCAGGCCTGTGCAGAGACCCTCCGATCTCCCCACGCACTCAGATCTAACACAGTTCCATTCAGGCTTCAGACCTGAGTGCTGGCTCCTGACCCCACAGCCTGCCCCAATGTAAGCACCTAGCTCTCTTCCCCCTTTCTGCTCCCATCCCCTGGCTCCCTTTCTTTTCCTCCAAATGTGTCGCCGCTTTGCCCGGAATGCTCCTCCCCAACACCTTGGAGGGCTGGCTGGCTCCTTCTCAGTCTTCAGGGCCTGGGTCCACCGTGGACTCCTCCAAGTGCCCAGTGCTGGAAGAGTGCCCCATCTGATACTACCCTTAAATTATCCTGGGAATTCTCTCCCTTCTCAGCATTGACATGATGGTTGTGGGGTGCCATCTGTTCTAAGGTCCTTGAGGGAAGGGGTCCTAGCTGGCCAGCTCCTGCCGCCAGCACCTGGGAGAGCGCCTGGCACACAGGCGGGACCTGCTAACCGGCTGATGCTTGCCTGATCTTCAGAACAAGCTGGCCGGACTTGACCTGTTTTGGGGCCGGTGCACCAAGGCACAGCGTGGGAGGTTCTGCCCCCTACCTTGCTCCCTGAGGGTGGGCTCATGGTCCCCCTCTGCTCCCATTCCCAGAAGGCCCAGGGAAGGCCTTTCTCTGAGGATTCAGCCCACAGCTTTGGCAGGCAGCTGATGGGAGAGCAGGGTGCCCAGGACATGGAGACAAGCATCCCGTCACCCCGGAGGCCTCTTCTGCCTGCTTTTTCAGCAGACAGGATCCTGGCAGACCCCACATGAGGACTTAAGCCACTTTTATTACAACAACCCCTCAACGTGCACAAACATTACACTATGTACAAACACGTGCTTGGAGCTCTTACACAAGCAGGAAGCCAGAATGGATTTTGATTTGATTTTCATTATATCTTATCTATATCATCATTTTTTTTAAGTAAGCTCCACACCCAACACGGGGCTTGAACTCACGATCCCGAGATCCAGAGTCGCACGCTCTACCGACTGAGCCAGCCAGGCGCCCCCAGAACAGATTTTTAAATTAACCAGCAAGAAAACTACACAAGTAGGAGTGCAGAGAGAGGAGAAAGCCGCTCTGGCCACCCTGAAGCAGCTGGCCACCCAGGGTATTCGCATGGCAGCGAGATACAGTGATACATCCAGGTCCCGGTGGGTCAGGGTGCCGGCCACCCGTCAAGGGGTCTCCGGTCATTTGCGCTAGGGTCACGCAGACACAGAACATTTCCACTTCTTCATCCGCGTGTCACCTGGGGAGAAGCAGCCCCCACTTGATGGGTCGCCTCCCCGGGTCCTCATCAGCCGGGGGGGGGGGGGGGGGGGGGGGGAGGGCAGCAGGGCCTGGCCCCCACACCTTCAGGAACCTGGTCTCATGCGGGGCTGGCCTCCATGGGCTACTGGCATCACCAGGGTTGGCACGAAGTACACAGTATTTGGAGCTTGTCCTACAGGTGGCTCGGGGCTCCCAGACATTCAATACTGGTCTAGAGTCACCCTCTCAGGGACCTTTCCAAACAGACACCTCTAACAGTGCTCATCAACTCCCCCTTACCGTGGGACAAGGGCTTGGGGGCCTGGAATTGCGTTCCAGGGTCTTCAGGCCAGGCCGGCTGACTGTCGGCCTCATCACCCACCCAGGGTCCCCATCCGGGGGGCACTTTTGGCTACACCATCGCTGGTGTGTCACCTCCTCCAGGGAGCCTCCTGGGACTATCCAAAGCACCTGAGGGAGGACGAGAGAAGGGGAGGGTCTTCCCAGGGCGCCCCTGGCCGCAGGCCCGTCCCCCCTCCCCCCGCGCGGGCTCAGGCCCGCGGGTTGGGGGCACCCCGTCTGACCCCCGACCGAGCGCGTGCTCCAGAGGGGGAGGAGCCGCGCGCTTGGGCGGCGGGAGGCGGGGCCGGGGCGGGGCCGGTGGGCGGGGCCTCGGCGCCCTATAACAGGCGGCGGGGGCGCGCGCGCGACCGGAGAGCGAGCGCGCAGCGGCGGCGGTCAACCTAGAGCGACCCGGCCCGGCCTCCCGCGCCCCGCGCCCCGCGCCCCCGAGCCCCCGCGCCCCGCGCCCCGCGCCCCGGGCCCGCGCCCCGGCCCCGCCGCCCGCCAGGCCCCGCGCCTCGCGCCCAGGACCGGCCCGCACCCCGCAGGCCGCTCGCCGCCCGCGCCGCCATGGGGGTGGAGGGCTGCACCAAGTGCATCAAGTACCTGCTCTTCGTCTTCAATTTCGTCTTCTGGGTGAGCCCGGGCTGGAGGAGGGCGGGGGACAGGGGCACCCCGAGCCCGGCAGGCCGCGCGTCCCGCCAGGCCCGGTAGAGGGGGCGCAGCCAGGCCGCCGAGGTGCGGGGCCACCTGTGGGCGCCGGGCGCGGATGGGCGTCCTGGGCAGGCAGACGGGCAGGTGGGGGTCGTCCGCGGGGGGTTGCCGCGAGCCGGGTCTCGGGGCCTCTGCGCGGCCGGGCCCAGGGCCCCGCGGCCGGGCCGGGGCGTTGGGGGGCCTCGGGTCTGTGCCCGCCGGGTGATGGCGGTCGGCGCGGCGGGCCGGGCCGCGGTGTCAGGGACCACCCTGCTTCGCGGGGACCGAGGGGGCTCGGGGGCTCGGGGGCGGGGCTCCCGGCGCCCCGCCCCCCATGAGCTCATCTGGGCCACCGCCCCTGGATGGGCGGCCGCGGCGGGGGTTGGCGCGGGGGGGGGGCGCGGACTGGGCCTGAGTCTTGGGAACCGTCCGCTCCGCACTTGGCCCAGCCCCGCTCGCCCCAGTGTGCCGGCCGCGGCCGGGGGATGGCGGGGAGGGGCCGGGCCGGGCGGCACCCGCACAGGAAGCGCCTCAGCGCCTCGTGGCCCGCGTGCTGGGCGCCCGCACCGCGGTGGCCGCGCTTTGTGGGGCCGGCCCCCCTCCACTCCTCAGCCAGTCCGAGATTGCAGGCCCCGCTCTCCCGGGAGGCTGTGGAGGCCTTGACGGGAGTGGGGCTGGGGCGGCCGTTCTGAGCTGCCCAGGGCACGGGGCCCTGAGGACTTGAGCGTCTCTGGGCTCCTCCGGGGCCTGGGTCCCAGTGGATGGCCAGGTCTGGGCTTAGGTGTGGGCTTGGACATCCACCTCGGAAACAGGTACCCACAGGATGGTCATCTTGCGGTGCAGGAGGGTCTCAGGGGCTCCAAGCTGCTGGCCTGCAAGTTGCGTTTTCCTGGCCTGGGTGGTAACTGCTGGCCAGTGACCTGGTGCTTCGGCTTTGTTTCCGTTTCCTGCCTGTGTTGGAGTTGGGGAGGGGCCCCGGGTGGGTGCAGGAACCCCTCTCTTGGCCCTGCCCTGCTTCTCCTTGGCCAGTCCTCTGGGCAGTGCCTGGGAACCCTCCTGGACCCCTCTGCCACCCCAGGCTGCTCACCCCTTCTCAACAAGGACCGTGACAACATCTGGCAGACAGCGTAGTTCTCAAGTAGACCGGGAGGGTAAACTTTCGAAACGGTCCCCTGAGCAAGTCTGTTTCCCATCTGCACAGCCGAGGGTCCCAGTGTGGAGGATCCCAGTGCGGATCTCGGGGCAGTGAGGTGTTTGGGGTGGGGAGGACAGAGACTGGACTGAGCTCTAGCTGGGGATGGAGTGGAGGTGTCACACCCCGCCTGGGTGGGAAGGCACAGGTGGGGGGGGGGGCGCTGTGGCTACTGGCCTCTGCCTGGGGAGTGGGGAGCAGTGGGATTGTCAGGAAGGGCCAGGACTGACCTGAACCGCCCCTGGGGCCTTTGCCGAAGGGGTGGTGTTTAGTGTTGATTTAGTAAGTTTGCCTGCTGTGGCCCGGGCTTGTAGGGGGCCAGGGGGACACCCAGACGCCCCTCTGCTGGTCTCTGAGCCCATCCCCTACAAGCAGAGCCTGGATGTGGGGTGAGGACCCTGACCAGGAGATGGAGGATAGACGGAGGTAGAGGATGTCTCCCGGAGCAGATTCCTGTCCTTGGGCTGAGTGTCAGTGCTGGGTAAGTCCCTCCCCACTGCCCAGCCTGGGAGGTCTCCAGGGCAGCCCCTGCTCACCGCCCAGCTCTGCTTGGGCGAGCCTGGTAGTTCCCCAGGCAGCTGGGGTGGAGGCCTGACACATCCCCAGGGGCTGCTCTTTATTCAGGCTTAAGGAAATGTTTCCAGGCCTCTCCCCTCCTGAGCCAACCAGCTGAGCATTAAGAACTGTACCCCACAGTCCAGTCACCGTGGCCCCACCCATCCCTGTAGTGGGCGCATGCAGAGCTAAGCAGGGTTCGGGCTGGGGGCCACCACTCTGGCAGGGCCCCTCTCTGCCCCGGCGTCCCGCCTCACCTGGCTGACAGCGTGGTGCCGTGGGGTTGGTTCCAGATGGTGGAGCGCTCACCCCACTGCTTGGGTCCAGGTCCTGGGCCTTGGCTTCCTGCTCCGTAAGGTGGACGTCCTCCACATCCCGTCCCCCGGCTTGGCAGATTAGCTACCATCCTTAGGGGCCAGCTCAGGAAACGGTTGTAGGGCCCAGATGGCCAGCAGGAAGACTGCTCTCCTTGGCCGGTGTGGGCAGTGCCCTGGGGAAGGGGCTTCGGGTGCCCCAGAAGGCGTTGGGTGAGGGAGGGCCCCTGGTGCCTGGCCTGACTCTCGCTCGTCGGGCACCCTGGCCACAGTGCAGGAGTGGGTGCTGAGGGGGAGCCGGGAGAAGACTTGGACAATGGGTGTCTGCATTGGGCCGCTTTTAAAAGTTGAATCGTAGAGAGTGAAAACGCTCCCACCTGGGAGCAGGCCTCAGAGGCGGCCAGGCTGGCTTCTCCGGGAAGGAGCCCGCTTACCCCGCACGCTCACAGGCGCGTCTCTCTCCTCCACGAGCCGGGACTTCGGGGCCCCAGGCGGCGTGCACTCAGTATGCCTGACAACCGCTTGCTTTGGGGTTCCATGGCCTGGCGGGGACAGGAGTAGGAGCACGAGCAGAAGCCCGGGCCAAGCCTGGGAGACAGTGCAGACACCCTGCCTGGCAGCGTGGAAATCCTCCCTGTTGGGGTTGGACCTGGCACTTCCTGGCAGAGGCTGCTGGTTCTCAGGCTGCTGGGCATTTCAGGAAGAGCAGAGGCTCCACTCCCTGTGACCTGGGGCAGGCATCTGGCACGCGTGGGCCCCGCTCACTCTCATCTGTGAAGTGGGTACGACCACAGGCCTGTCCTTGGAGGCCAGCCAGGGAGAGCGCAGCGTCCCATGCCTGGGCCTGGCCACTCCTCCAGCCTGATGCCTTCAGTGGCCGCCTTCCAGAGGTAGGGCAGCCAGACTAGGCTGGGAACAGGGCTGATCAGAAGCCTCGCTAACTGGCATTTAATTCTCGCTTCCAGACAGCACATGACTGTCACTTAGCGGTTCTGTCGCCTTCCTTCCGGGACAGGGGATGTGTGACCCTGGCAGGCTCTGGGTGGGGGTGGGGATTTCCTGTGCCGGTTTTGGGGGGAGGGGGGCGAGTGGACGGACTGAGTGGCAGAGCTTTGGGGGAAACGGCTGTTGGGCTGGGACAAGAAGAGGAAGTCTGTGGTCTGTCCCTGAAACGAAATAGCCCCCCCCCCGCCCCCCATGAGGATGTCCAGGCACCAAGAGGCCTGGGACCCTGGCGGGTGCCACTGCAAGACTAACACGCCCCCCCCCCCCCCCCCCCCCCGCCACCAGCTCAGGTCTGCCTCCAGAACTAGAGCTCATCCCCAATCCCTAGCTCATACTGCTGTGAAGTCTGGACAGGGAGATGGACCCAAAAAGCCACCCCTCCCAAATCATCTGCCCCATGGCTTCATTTCAGCGCCTGAAACCCCACGAGGGCAAGAACCCAGATCAAATCAATACGGCAAAGTCCAGGCACCCGTGGGAGGAGCTGATGATCACCTTTGCACTGGCCCATGTTTCAGGGTGGGGATGGGGGAGAGGCACAGGGGTTCTCCCTCTGGTCCTGGCACCCCAGGACCCAGGCCAGGGCACGCAGCCAGGGCTGGGTGGTTTTCAGCCCTGGAGCTGCCCCGTGGCCAGCACGCCTTGTCCTTGACCTAGAACCAGGCTCGTCTGGAATTGGCCCTCGGGACCCTTCTCCCGAGTTGTTTTCCATCTATCCTGTGGAATGTGGTTTGACCCAGCATGCTTCCAGACCTCTAGACTTCTCAGTGCCCCCCTGCCCCCAAAGCACACATAGTTTCTACCCTGGGGCCTGGCCTAAGCCCCTCCTGATGGCAGGGCAGGTGCTAATTCACACAAGACCACTGGGGGCTTCCAGGTGGACCCCCGGGTGCTAGGGGTTAGGGTTAGGGCAGGCAGGGGGCCATGGCCAGTGTGCTGGCTGAGGATTTCCCTTGCTAAGCTAGCTGCCGGGGACGGGGCGCCCACCCTCCCTGGGCATGAGCTGAGGGCTGGCCAGAGTGAGGGGCTTAGGACATGGGGTTGGGCCCATAAGTTCCTCCAGTCGGTGGTGAGGGTGCTCCCGGCAGGGGGGGGCGCTGGGAGCCACAGAGGCCGGGGGACCCAGGGGCCGGCAGCACAGCCAAGGCCTGGGGGTTCATGCCCCCTTGTCCTTGTCCTCTAACTTGGGAAAGTTACTGCTGCCCCGCCTGTCTACAGTGACTGGGTACCATGGTCATTGTCAAGAAGGTGAAAGACAGGAAGCCAGGGCCGCCCGCCCTGCAGAGTCGGTGGCTGGGTGACCCACGCCTGGATTGGCCGGGTTGGCCTGGGTCATAACTCGCCCTGGGAGGACGTCGAACAGCTCCCTGTAACCTGTCTTACCTGCGCCGTTGTCTTTGGATGGGTGCTGAGGTTGGTTCTGTCACCACTGACAGCCGGCTCCCGACGCTCAGGCTGACACCCAGGCCTGTGAGGTGCCAGGGTGCGGCTGGGGTGACAGCAGTGAGGACTGCCCACCTCCCTGGGTCTCCAGTCCTGGGGCTGGGAGGCCTGAGCCCAGGAGCTCAATGCCCTTGGTCTTGGGGGTTGGGGTGGGGGCTTCCAAGAGGCAGTGGGTTTGGGAACCACCAACCGTGGTCCCACCGTGAGCTCGCGGGGAGCTCACCCTCTTGCACGGCTGTGGCTCTGCTTGGCTGAAGGGCCCACACTGCTCCCTAACCCGGGGGCTCGGCCCCCCACCCTTTGGACAGACGGCCTTTCACTTTGTCTTGAGGTGGTAAGACCTCCAGCTCCCACAAGGTAGCACTCCCCTGAGCCAGCCAGGCCCTGGCTGGAGCTGTCCCCTTGGCCTCCAGCTGGGGCAGTAGGAGGCTGAGGTCCCCGAGTGACCACGTGAGGCGGTCCTTCTACTGCTTCATAGCCTGGTGTGGCTCCAGGGCTGGGGCTCCCCTGGGACAGGGACAAGGCCATCCTGACCTGCCCTGGGAGCCCTCCACCTGCTCTCTTGTCCTCTGCCTGAGCCCACCCGCCTCCCATCTCCCTCCCCAGTCGGTGCCCAGCCCACCTGGATCCTCCTTGTCTGATGCACGCGGCCTGTTCTGTGCCCTTCTCTGGCAGGTCCCTGGGACGTCTGTGTCCACAGGCCCTCCCTGCAGGGGCCGAGGGGGCCGAGGGGCTCCCCACAGTGGGGTTGGTTTGGGGCAGGGGAACAGGACACTTCCTGGCTTTTCTACCCAGGGATTGGGTGGTGGGGTTGGGTTTCTCTTGTGCCCCTAGAGTAGCGGGGTGTGGCGGGGGCCTGCACTCACCTCTTAGGGGGAAGTGGCTCCCGCAGCCCCTAGCTGGTGGCCCCAGGGGGGCCTGGGTCATGACCCCCTTGCTTCCTACTGTTAGATGCAGGGCCAGGTGGCTTCCTGAGGTCCAGGGGCCTCCAGCGAGGCTCTGCTTCCCGGCCGAGGTGCGGGTCCCTGCTCCTCCCTCCACACCTGCTGTGTTGAGCTGCTCCCAGAGGCCACGACAGGACCGTGGGGGCAGCTGCCCAGCCCCCGGGAAGGCCCGCGTTGGGCCTGTCCCCTCATGGTGGGTGGAGAGCGAGGGTCAGTCTGCAGGAACCCGAGACCCCTACCCAGCTCGAGGGGTGGAGCCAGGACCTTCCTCTTGCTCCCCTGACCTACCACAGCCCATCCTAAAAGCATCTCTACTGTGCCTCTTCCCTCTGACTTAGCCCCGTGTCCCTGAGGGCATTTCCGGCCTCATTTCCTGCCTTTAGCCTTCACTACCCTCCTTGGTTGGAGGGGTCTCCAGGCCTCCAGGACCCCCAGCTGCCCAGCCAAGTGGCTGCTTCCTGGCGCATTTTCCCTGGAGGTGGGGGGTTGGGGAGCAGAGCTGGAGTGGAGTCGGGTGCCCCCAACCCGCTCCCCTGCAGTGGAGCTCCCCCACACCCCCCACACACTGCCCCCTGCCCTCTGGGGCGGCCAGAGCTGCTGGGAGGGTGTGAGTGACGTGAGCAGCCCTGGGGCCCGCGTGGGTGGGGCTGGGGCACTCGGGGTGCGGGGTCCGAGGGCACGGCAGCCCCAGGCCTGCCCGGGCAGCACCCACTCCCTCCTGCTCCCTTTCAGCCGCTTCTTGGAAACGGCAGGCGGGCCGGGCAGGAGCCCAGCATGCTTGGCAGCCCCCTCCTGCTTCAGCTGACGCCGTTAGTTATTAATTCTCAGAAAGGAAGAACGAAACAGAAACAGAATCTCTCACAGGGTCCCGAACTGGCCACGCTGTGCCCGCTGTGGGGCCTTCCCCTGTGGCCCAGCTGGCTGGCACATTCCCCGGTGCCACCGGCCGCGGGGCCTCTCGGGGGGGCACGGCCTCTGGGCCAGGAGTGGGTGGGAGCCGTGCTTCTGGCGGGCGAGAGGGTCCTGTGACCCTGCGCGGAGGGCTCCGTGGGGCGGGGGCACCCCCAACACTGGGACGTTAGCTTGGACCACCTGACATCCTCATCTTCCAGTGAGAATGTGGAGGTGACCCCGAGGTGCGGCGGGGCACCCTTGGCTGCCATGCTCCGGGCCCCACCCTCTACCGTGACCCCTGCTCTCCCTGAACGCCAGGCTCCGTTGTGTAATGCACGTCTGGGCTTCACAGTTCTCCAGTCCCCTCTTTGACCCTAAAACCTCAGTTCTGTGTACGAGACTTCAGCACGATGTTTCCAGATGCTTGCTATGGGCCCTCGGAAGCCTGGCGAGCCCAGCGCGTGTGGCTCCTCGCTGCGGGCGCCGGCTGGCACCAGGACAGCAGCCTGGATCCTTTGGGGCCCAGATGAAACATTTACCCCTAAAAGCCTTGCTGCGAAGTTCAGCGGTCAGCGACTGAGTGGAGTTGGGGGTTTAAAAACAGCCTTATCGGGCGTAGAGTACACAACACGTGTTTTAAACGTACAACCTTGACATAGAGCCCCGTGGGACGGTCACCGCATCACGATCGTGGACACGTCCAGCAGCCCCAAAAGCGTCCGGGAGCCTCGTGATCCCTCCCCCGTCCCTGGGCGGCCCAGGGCCTGTGTTCTGTCACTGCACCTGATTTGCATTTCTGACACTTCTGTAGAAAGGGAACTTTTTTCTTTTTGGTCTGGTGGCTGTCATTCAGCACGGCGCTCAGCCGAGTGGTACATTTCCCCACGGTGTGCTCGTCCGTCCCATCTGTGCGCCAGTCCAAGGACAAGTGGGTTGGGCCCGGTTTGGGGCTGGGAACAGCAGGGCCCATGTTGTGGTGTGGACGGCGCACGTTCGTGTCCCTGGGCGGACTCGGGTGGCAGGCGTGGCCGCGTGGAAGCGCACTGAGTCCTGGTTCCTTACACGTCCCCGCCAGCACGTGAATGGCGGGGCAGGAGCCCTCCCTTCTCTGCGGAGGGCTTTCCACCCCCCTGGGTCAGGGTGCTGCCTTTGTCCCACCCTGGTTGGCGATCTGCCCCCTGCCGTGCGGGCTTCCTCATCTGGGAACGGGATGGCCCATACCACCACCGTGTCCACCCGGCCCCACCCCGGGGGTCTGTGCAGGGCCTGGAGTGACCGGAGCCCTGGCAAGCAGGGGCCCTGTAGGCACCGGGCCCTCCCCGGCCCTGGAGGCAGGACGAGCTTCCCTTTACCCTCAGGAGTGAGGGCCTGGGGGCTGCGGGGGAGTCTGAGGCCGCCCCGCCTGCCCCGGAGTCCGAGGCAGCAGAGGTGGTGACCAGGGGGTGGGATGAGCACTGCCCCCACTGTACTTCTCTTAGGACCGTGCACCCCAAGACACGCTCGTCTCCCCAGCTGCTGGGGTGAAGGGGCTGCGTGAGGAAAATGGGAGAGGTTGCAGCCGGGCCGCTGCTGAGGACAGGGAGGCCGGTCGGGGCTTGTGGCCAGGGCGCTGGCGCTACAGAGGGCTCCAGGGGGAGGCCCGGGACAGGGGCTTCCCTGCCCCTCCCCCTCCGCCCCGGGACATCTCACAAAGGCGGCTCTGGACCACAGTTTCAAAAGAACAAGTGACGGTTTCAAGCCAGAGTTTCCACGGCAACCCTCAGCCTCGACACCGCCTCCCTCTGAGCCGCAGATGGCAGCCACCTCGGGGCCTCTGGGGCGCCCGCCCTGCCCCCGCCGTCCCGTGGGGCCCCTGGCCTTCTCCCGCTGCTGACAGGTGCCACCAAGAGGCACAGGAGGCTGAGAGCCCGGGGCCCTGCCCTCTGAGGGCTACGCGGTGGCCGAGGGCCCTGGGAGGGGACCCTGGCCGGGGCTGGCGCACAGCAGGCCCTTGGTGGTCCTCCCCACACTTGCTGGAGGTCAGGGCAGAGCCTCCGAGCCTTGGCCTGTCCTCCCCAACCAGACCTGGCACCCTGGGAGAGGTGGGCTGAGCAGCGGAAACCCCAGGCTCGTGGAGGGGACAGGCAGGTGCTCCGAGGGGGGTGCGGGCAACCCGGCCTCGGGGGTGTGAGCCCCGCCAGCCGTACTGGTAGGCGGGCGTGCTAGGGCCCGGGGAGCGGCTGGGGCTTTCCGCGGGGCAGCCCTCGGGGCAGGTGCCGGTCTGGCCAGGTGGTGTCCGCGGGGCGTTTCTCCTCTGCGTAGCACGTGGAGCTCTGGGCCTGTGTTGGGGGGCAGGGGGGCGGTGTCTGCTGCTGTGGGGGGAGCTCCATTGCCAGCACACAGACGGTAGGACGGGGAAGCCAGGAGCTAGCGGCCGAGCAGCGAGGCCCTCCGACCCGTGCCCAGGCTTGCAGCTCTGGGAGCAGAGTCCACCTCGGTGGGGCATCCGGGGCTGCGACGGCCCGGAGGATAGGAGGCTGGGGCCCGGAGGGCAGCACAGCCACTGGCTGGGATGATGAGATGCTCCTGTGTAGGCCGGGCCCAGCGTGGTCCGGGCTCCCCTTCAGCACCACCCACCCCCCTCAATGGCCCTGTGCTCGCAGGACGGTGAGTCTGCGGAGGGCCTCCCTGAGCCGGAAGCCCCGTCCTCCCGCCAGGCTCTGAGCAGAGCCCCCTTTCCTGCCCCAGCTGCTCAGGCAGCCCCTCCCCTGGCCTATCTGGGAGCACAGCGTGCTTCCTTCCTCCTGCAGCGCAGTGGCTTCCCTTCCCAGGGCTGACAGCAGCGAGGATTTATCCCGCAAATGGCCCGGCCCCTCGCCCCCGTGGCTCCCTGGATGCCACCAACCTCCGCTCCTCCCCTTGTCTGTCGCTCCCTCCATCGGCCCCACCAGGCCCCTGGCAGCATCAGACCTCCACCCCTCTCTTTCTCTTGGTAGCAAAGACTTGCAGTCCCTTCCATGGGCTTCCCAGATGAGCTGAGGACTGCTGGAACCACCCCCTTGGAGGAGGGCCCAGCAGTCCCTGGGGTCCTTGGGTCTGGTGTGGACTGTGGCAAATAAATATTTAGCAAATAAAAATACAGGGCATCCAGTTAAATTTGAGCTTTAGATAAAAAAATGAACGCTGTTTTGACATAAGCGTGCCCCATCCAGTATCGGGAATGTGGTCCCCGATACCCAGGCCTTCCTTCCTGGGGCATGTCAGGCACCAGGTCCGCATGTGGAGCCGGCAGACAGCCCAGACCCCAGCGGTGCCTGGGAGCGCCACCTGGCGAGGGACGGCCTGGGCCTGCGGGCAGGTGGAGGCGCGGGTCCAGCACCTGCCTCCTTGGATGTTCAGTGTGGTTCAGCCCACACTCACCACTGCGGTGCTCTGGGCAAGTAACCCTGTACCCATTCTTTTCCCAGTTGGCCGGAGGCGTGATCCTGGGTGTGGCCCTGTGGCTGCGCCATGACCCACAGACCACCAATCTCCTCTATCTGGAGCTCGGAGACAGGCCTGCGCCCAACACCTTCTACGTGGGTGAGTGCACCTGGGGGGGCCCAGGGGCTGGTCGGCTCTGGGCTGGGGGGCCAGCAGGAACGACCCATCAAGGCGTCTGATCATGACTGCTGCGGATAGGAAGTCAGGAAGGGCTTCCAGGAGGAGGCAGGGCACGGGCCAGGTCAGCGAGGCTTGCTGTGTGCTGGGCTGCTGGGCGGGACGAGGCCTGCCAGGAAGGGCTCTTTGGGCGAGAGGGTGAGACAGAGCGTGGGTGGAGTCAGGTCCGCCTGGGGGCCTTGCGGGCCCGGGTGCGGAGGAGGTCCCCTGCCTGGCTGGCTGGGGGTGCGGGGGGCAGGAGCCCAGCTCCCAGGCAGCACTGGAACGTCACGAGGTGTGTGGGCTGTTGGGACCCCACCGGATGGCCTCCGGGGGCTGGCTCGTGGCAGGAGGCCTCTGGGTGGGGGCGGGGGAGCTGTGTCTCGTGGTGGGTATTTCGGGGGAGGCTCGCTGGAAAGGGGTGGGGCTGGATGCCTGCCTGGGCAGCAGGACTGGTAGCTGAGGCAGCTGGAGCTGAGGGGGAGGGAGACTCGGGCCCCAGGGTGAGGCAGGGGCCAGTGTGACTCAGGCCGCGCCCCCCGCCCCCCACACCTTGCTGCCTTATTAGGCTGCCTGTCTGCCTCCCAGGCACCAGCTGTGGCCCCCTCAGGGGATCGAGCCGCCACCCCTGCCCCACCGTCCTGCAGAGCCTCACTCCCCCTTAGGTTGGTCCCTAGCCAGTGGGAGGCAGGGCCTGGCCCTTGTGGGGCTCTGGAAGCCTTGTTTCTGTCCTTTAAAGGAACGGCCTGGCTGGCCCCTCGGGTCTCCACAGGCCTAGCAGCGGGACAGGAAGTGTGTGTGGGCCTTTAGGGCTCAGGGCTCCATGTTAGGACCAGCGGCCGCCCCACTGGCCTGGTATCCTGTGTGCAGCCCAGAAGGGGTCTGGGTCCCTCCCAGCTGCTGTTTGGGGCTGGGTGGGGCACGGGCTTGCGATACACGCTTGGTTGCTGAAGCAGGGATGGCCCACGGCCCCTGGGGCCACAAACGGGATGTCTGTCCCTTCCCAGCCCATGATCCTCTCTGAGCTGCAAGGTGGAGAGGTCTGACTCAGGAGCACCAACGGGGTGGCCCCTCGCCTCCCCGGAGACAGGAGCCTGCCGCGCCGGCTGTGGTTTCCCAGGGCCAGCCGTCCCTGGAGGGGGTCCCGAGCCTCCCATCTCCAGATCCCTAGGCTCCCCCTGGGCCGTGGGGCCCCTCAAAGGTTTGAGTCTCTGGAGGAGCGGGCCCCCCCGCCCACCTGCCCGCTCCAAAGGCGCCCACGAGGACCATCACCCAGGGTCTGCCGGGGCCAGGCACCCTCAGGAGCAGGGCGGTCAGCTTTGCTCACAGGTCCGAGGGCAGGGAAGTACCTCCCAGACCCACGAGACCTCCTCCCAGGTGTCCCCCTCCCCTTCCCCAGGGGTTCAGGCCTGCAACAGCCTGTCTGGGAGCGGCTGCTCTCCACGCCGCCCCCTGCAGGGCCTGGGTGCCGTGGGTGTGGGCAGGTGGTTTGGGGAGGGGTCCCCCTCCTGCCTCATGGCCGGAGCAGCTCATGCTGTTGCTGCCCCCTCCAGCTGGCCCAGCTTTTAGAGGGAACCCCAGTCACAGGCTCAGTTTCAGGCCCGGCACATGAAGGTCTGTGCTTCTGCTCTGGTCCTTGCCAGGAGGAGCCGGGCTACAGGCTGTGCCCGGGCTCCAGGGGGGACGTGGGCCCATAGGAGAAGCTTGTAGGGGGCAAAGCAGGCACTGTCCCACCGGCCTGCCCCTCACAGGTGCCACATTGGGCTGTCACCGTGGGGCCTGACCCTGGCTTGCAGGGGCCCCCACTTGCCTCTCCTGGCACTGGGGGGGGGCTGCCCTTGGGGAAACAGCTCCAGCCACTGGACCACTTGGTGGGTGAGGTGGAGGCAGGGCCTGCCAGCCCCGGGACCTGGGCTTCTGCAGTGGCCCCCGTGGGCTGCCGAGTCCCTGCCCGTCAAGGACCGGCCTTCTGGAGCCTCCCGCTGGTCCCGAGGCAGGCTGGGCCTGCCAGGGAGGCGGGGGAGCAGATGTGGGGCCTGACAAGGGTTCTTTGTCCAATGCTGGCGGGGGCGGGGGCAGGTTAGCGGGGCTCCGCCAGCATCCAGGGCAACACTGCAGGGCCCAGTGGGTCCCCGACTGCGCTTGTCGGAACCAGACCTGTCTGGGTGGGCCGTGGGCACCAAGAACGGCACCACAGCCAGCCTGGTGGGCACCCCCTTGTGCTGTCCTAGAACTGTCCCTCCCATACCATATGCCATCCTTGGCGGGGCCGGGCCACCGCAGCTGCCAGGCCACCTCCTCCGGCAGGCTCTAGTCCCTCGGAAGCCAGCTCGAGCCCACTGCTCTAGCCCAAGGAGCCACACGGAGCTGCTGGGTCTGACCCCCTGAGCAGTGGGCACGGCCTTGTGTCCCAGAGGCTCGCAGGACCCAGAGGGCGCAGACTGTACGCAGGCCTCAGCCCGGGACGGATGCAGCGTCCAGACCTGTCGGCTGAGCTCTCTGGGCACTCTGCTGTGCCAGCCGGTCCTGGCCCGGCCCTCGGCAGCCTGGCTCCCAGGGTGCAGACCCGTGCAGGAGAGATGTGGGCGGGGGGGGGGGGGGGGGGTGGCGCGGGAGAGGCGCTCACCCGGCGGCCAGGCTGCAGTGCCCTCGCCACTGCTCGAGGGCAGGGTGGCCCGACTCCGGGGCCGGGGGTGTGCACACGGCTGGGGAGGGGTCCGGGGTGGCGGGCCCTCGGGGGGACGTTGCGCACTGAGGGTGTCCATTGCTCCCCCACAAAGGCATCTACATCCTCATCGCCGTGGGTGCCGTGATGATGTTCGTGGGGTTTCTGGGCTGCTACGGGGCCATCCAGGAGTCCCAGTGCCTGCTGGGGACGGTAAGGTCTGGGGCCGGGCGGGGGCGGGAGGGGGCTGCAGAGGCAGAACCCAGAGTTCTGCTGCAGACGCCCCGTGTCCAGCTCAGACGGCCCCCCGCCCCTTGCCAGTGTGATCCTGGAGCGGGGGCTCGCGGGGTGGCCTAGGGACCTTTCCCAGAACGTCAGCCCTCCAGGGTCCCTGTGTGGTTCAGAAATCGCACCCTGGTCGATTGCTGTGACATCTGGTTCCTAACTCATGGTTCTACGGTAGCTTTTCTTCTCTGTTTTTAATAAAAAGCCACAGAAACAATAGGGGGCATGTCCCAGCCCCTCGGCCAACCTCAGTGGGGAAACTGAGGCGTGGGCAGGCCAGGAGGCATGGGTGGTGGGCGCCCATGTCATGATGACCCCCTTTCCACGGGAGAGGGAGAAGTGGGGAGCGGAAGGGGGTCACTTGGGGCCCAAAACCCCCTGGGGCTGTGCCGGCCTGCAGCCCCCACCCGCTGAGCCCCGGCCCGCGGGGATGCTGAGAAGCTCGGCAGGTCACTGCTGGGACCAAGTCTTCTCCTCCACATGGCTCGTCTCTGGTTGGGATGTGGGGGTGGGTGCCCCCACCAGCCACACACACACCTGTCGGTCACTTGGGCGCCTGGCGTCTGCACACGGCCAGCCCAAAGCTGCCCCACGCCTGCTCTCATCCCCCGTGTCTCTGCCCTCCCCTCTGGGTCCTGCACGGCCTTCCCAGTTCTTCACCTGCCTCGTCATCCTCTTTGCCTGTGAAGTAGCTGCCGGCATCTGGGGCTTTGTCAACAAAGACCAGGTGAGCCTGGGACCATGGTGGTGGGGCCGTCCCAGCTGGGCCGGGAGAGAGGAGTGCCTGCTGCTCAGGTTGTGGGGAATGGGTTGGGCCTACCCTTGGATTGCGGGGTGCTCTTTGGGGCTCCCCGTGGGGGCCTGCCTGGTAGAAAAGCACAGAGGGCTTTCTGGAGGAGGTGGCTTGGGGGCTGAGTAGAAGGCAGGGCCACCTGTCTCCCAGCCTCAGGTGGGGGTGGGGGGGCATCCAGATCTACCCTGGAAGCATCATCTTCTCCGGAGAGCCAGGGGAACACTTGCCCCCCCAGGGATGGCCCCTGTGGTGGCTGGGACCTCACCCCTCCGCACACCCCTCCCCCAGATCGCCAAGGACGTGAAGCAGTTCTACGACCAGGCTTTGCAGCAGGCTGTGGTGGACGACGATGCCAACAATGCCAAGGCCGTGGTGAAGACCTTCCATGAGACGGTGCAGGAGGAGTGCTGGGAGGAGGCCTGGGGAGCTGGGGGGGTCGGGGGGTCGTCCTCTTGGGTCAGGCCGCGCTGGGGTTGAGTCTGGCCCCAGCACAGACCTCAGGAACAGGAGGGGTCCCGCAGACCTGGCGGGCCAGGGAGCCCTCTCTGGGACGCCCCTGGGGGCGTTCTCAGGGACCCGTGGATCCCCAGGGGGAGCCAGATGAGCCCGTTAGGCCAGGGCGCAGTGGGAGAAAGGGGAGGAGAGGGGCTCCTGGGCTCAGTTCTCCCCCTGAATAGACCATCCCAGCCCCCCACCCTGGCCAGCCCGCGGGATGTGTGTCCCTGGCCACTCCCCGCGGGTCATGTCTGCACATGTGTGTCCCTGGCCACTCCCCGCGGGCCATGTCTGCACATGTGTGTCCCTGGCCACTCCCCGCGGGCCATGTCTGCACAAGGGCCCAGGGCTGACCGCAGGGTCCTCGGTCCCTGCAGCTCAACTGCTGTGGCTCCAGCACGCTGTCCGCGCTGACCACCTCCATCCTCAAGAACAACCTGTGTCCCTCGGGCAGCACCGTCATCAGCAACTTGTTCAAGGTAGGCGGGGCCGGGCCTCCCAGGCTTGCTCCCACGCTTCGCCGCCACCAGCCCTGGGTGGGTCCGGGGGTGGGGTGGCTTCCTGGGGGCTCAGCTGACGCTGCTGGGTCTCTGCCCGTGGCTCCAGATGGGAGAGTGGGCGTGGAGGGCGCCCCGACTGCGCAGGTCAGCGCCCTCCTCGTGCGGCTCAGCGACCTGAGCGGAAGCGCGCACACAGCACATTCCGTTTCCACATGTTTTAAAACGGGTGTGAGATGACCTGCAGAGACCAGGCCCTGGTCTCACCTCTTCTGAGGGGTTGAGTCCCTCCGTGCTCTTTGCACAACGAGCCTGAGCCTCGGGCCCCCGCCCCTGACGGTCTGCGGGCTGTCGCCCCCCCCCCCGCCCCCCAGGAGGACTGCCACCAGAAGATCGATGACCTCTTCTCGGGGAAGCTGTACCTCATCGGCATTGCGGCCATCGTGGTTGCTGTGATCATGGTGAGTGCGCGGGCATCTGCTCAGGGCGCCCCGTCAGGGCTTCGGGTGCTGACTGCCCCACCCAACCCCTCCCTGCAGATCTTCGAGATGATCCTGAGCATGGTGCTCTGCTGTGGCATCCGGAACAGCTCCGTGTACTGAGCGGCCCAGCTGCTCCCGCTGCAGGGGAGGGCCGGCGGGAATCCTGCAGTGCCCCTGGAGTGACCGGACATTTCTGAGGAGGGGCCGTCACCGCCCGTGTATATAACTTCTCCGGTATTACTCTGCTACACTATTAGCCTTTTTACTTCTGAGGTTTTGTTCTTGTCCTGAAGTTCCCCGTTACCTTTTGGGGCTGAAGTCACCTATAGAGGGCGTGTGAGCGGGCCTTGGGGACTGCGAGGCAGGGGCCGCCTCTGCCTCTGCGGCTGGAGGGGCTCTGCCTGCTCAGCCGGGCCTCTCCTGGGGGCCCCTCGGCCCACCACCCGCCCCCCGGCTGCACGGCTCATGCCTTTTTTAACCCTCGTTCCTCTCCCGCCACTTGTCTGGAGCCGGGTCTGCGAGCAGCCTTACGCCTTCAGTGCACCTGTCCTTTCTAACTCGTCACCTTTCGCTGTAATTACATCTCGAAAGTCATTCAATAAAGAAGGAAAATCCGGGCATGCTAACAGACTGCCTCTGTGCCTGCCGCGCCGGGACCCGGGGGCGGCGCAGCTCTGTGGACCTGGCAGGTCCTCCACACAACACAGCAGGTGCCGCCTTGGTGGGTCCCGTGCCACCCTCGCCGGCCTCCAGCCAGCCTCACTCCCCCGCTTACTCCCTGGGCACCACCGCCCATCGGGGGGCAGATGCGGTGGTGCAGGATGGGCTTGGGGTGGAGGGCCTGCGAGACCCCTTCCTGCCGGCGGACAGCTCTGTGGAGGACACGCGCCGGAGGGGCTCTCCCTGGCCCGTCTGGGTGCTTCTGAGGGTTCCACGGAGAAACTGGGTAGCTCCGGGCCTCAGCCCATCTTGCAAGGGCTGAGGAGGAAGGGCTGAGCCTCCGCGCGGGGGACTGAGGCCCAGCCGCCACCCCCGGGGACTGCTGGGTGACGTCACCACGAGCTGTGCTAAGCTGACCCCTCGAGGCCGCAAGCGCCGGCCGGGATTCATGGGGCGGACTCACAGCTGCCTCCTCCGGGGTTTATTTTGGAAATAGCCCCAGCCTTGCTTGCACCTGGGGTCACCGGGTCCCAGCGGGGTCCGCCCCTCCGCCCTGTGGGCCGGGGTGGGTCTCCGGGAGAACAGGGCGGCCCTCGGAGCCGCCTCCCGCTTACTTCCCCCTGTGCGACCCTGGGGCTCCCTGGCCCAGGGGCACAGCGCAGCCAGCCGCATTCCGTGCGCCGGGCGTAGGCCTGGGGGCGGCCCCAGGCGCGGGGGTCCCCGGGCATCCTGGCCACACTGCACGGCGCAGCCGCAGTCCGTGCTGGGGAGGCTGGGGGCGCCGAGGGCGGGCGGGGGGTCTGGGGGCGGCCCCAGGCGCGGGGGTCCCCGGGCATCCTGGCCACACTGCACGGCGCGGCCGCAGTCCGTGCTGGGGAGGCTGGGGGCGCCGAGGGCGGGCGGGGGGTCTGGGGGCGGCCCCAGGCGCGGGGGTCCCCGGGCATCCTGGCCACACTGCACGGCGCGGCCGCAGTCCGTGCTGGGGAGGCTGGGGGCGCCGAGGGCGGGCGGGGGGTCTGGGGGCGGCCCCAGGCGCGGGGGTCCCCGGGCATCCTGGCCACACTGCACGGCGCAGCCGCAGTCCGTGCTGGGGAGGCTGGGGGCGCCGAGGGCGGGCGGGGGGTCTGGGGGCGGCCCCAGGCGCGGGGGGTCCCCGGGCTTCCCGACCACGCCTGGACTGCAGCCCCGAGAGCAGCGGGGGCCGGCGGGGGCGCACAGGCGAGTGCGAGTGGACGCGGCCAGTCAGGCCATGGCGGTGGGCAGGCGAGGCCAGGGCGCCCGGAGGTAGAGGTAGAGACGAGCGCTCAGCGGAAACCCCGGCCCGCCCCGATCCCCCGACCCCCCGACCCACGAAGGGCGCGGCCGCGCGCTTCCGGCCGGACCGGAAGCACCCGGCAACGGCGCTGCGCGCGAGGATGCACTTCCGGTTCGGGGCGGCCGCCGTGCTCGCGACTTCCAGCAGGTGGCGCTGGGGCCCCGGGAACGCGGAGGAGGCCGTTAGCCCTCGAGCATTCTGGGAGTCGTAGTGCTACCTCTTCCTCCTCCCTCTTTTCCCTACTCAATTCCGGCTCGTGGCGAGAAGGAGAGACGCCGTTTCCGGGGAGGGGAGGCACGGAAGAAAAGTGAGGACGCATGCGCAGGGGCTCCGCGACGCGACAGGCCTCGGGAGTAGCGGCCCAGTGCCTTGTGGGAGATGTAGTTCTTCAGGTGCGGACGCCGCGTCGCTGGGCCGGCGGAGGACTCGGTGTCCCGGGAGGCCGCGCGCGGCGCAAGATGGAGCCGGCCCGAGCGCGCCGAGCCGGTAGGTTTGTGCCAAGGGAGTGCGGCGCTGACCCGCGGTCGCGTCCCTGGGAGGCCGCTGTCCGCAGCCTCCTTGCCCAAGCCCGGAGGCCCCCCCAGAGCGCCTCGTGTCTCCGCTCCCTCGCGGCCCGGGCCTTGGGAAGCCTGGACGCTGTCCGGCCCAGGCCCCCGACGGGGCGGAGAAAGCGCGCGGCTCCGCTTCCGAAGGGGGCAGCGCGCGCCGGCGGGAGGCCAGTGGTGCCGCCCCCGGGCCCGCGAAGTTGGAGGCGAGCTCCCGGAAACAGCGTCCCGGACCCCGAGTCGGGGGCCCTGTCCCCCGGCCGCTTGGCGAGCGCGGCGGCGGGGGCCGCAGGAGCGCGCGTCTGGCCGGAGCGCCTGCGTGCCGTGCGACCGGCGCGCTGGCTCCCTCTGCGGCCTGCCAGCCCTGGGACGCGCTGGGGGCGTGTTTCGCGCGCCCGGTCCCGCCTGGAGCGGATCCCGCGCCCGGGGGCCGTGCCCCAGAGCCGTGGGGCTCTGGTCGGCGTTCGATCGGCGGTGGGGGCTCTCGGGGGCTCTCGGCCGCTCCCGGCCCACTGCCTGGGCCTCCCTGGGCGCACGCACCACAGGGCGTCGCCGCGGACCAGGGGGCTGGGTGGGTGGGCGGGGGAGGCCGGGCTGCCCTCTGAGCCCGGAAGTGCCAGGTGCGGGGTGCCCGCCTGGTCGCACTCGGGCGGCTGCATGAGTGCGGGCGGCACTCCCGGGCCCTGCTGGGAAAGGCGAGGGGTGTGCGGGCTGGCGGGGGCGGTGCCACCGGAGGCTGCTGCGAGAGCGGCGGGGCTCGCCTCCGCCCGCCTCCCTGCGGGCTCGACCCTCAGGTGCCAGGGACCCGGCTGCACACCCCTGCGGGGCCCCGGCCTCTCCCAGCAGTGAGGAGCGGACCTCCTCGCCCTGCAGCAGCAGGTGGCCCGTCTCCGTGGGGTACCTGGGACGTGCCCCGCGCTGTGCTGAGCGGTTAGGGAGCCAGCCCACCGGCTGCAGAGTAGCAGCGCCCAGCGCAGGCTGCTGCTCACCCGGGGCGGCCCTGGCTGCCCGCCTGCCACCACAGCCCCACCCCCGGCGGGCCCCAGACGTGACCTGCGAGTGTTGAGCGAGGCGATCTTTACCAGGCATCTGCTCTCGGGCCTGGCGCCTGTCTGGGCTCCCTAAGCCCGGGACCACCCCTTGGGGGGTGTGGCACCACTTGGGCACCTTTGCGGTCTGATCTGAATGTTGGCTCTTCCCGCCCTCAGCCCGCTGCCGCTGGGCAGCTGACGGGAGCCGGACCGAGGCCAGCACGCCTTTGCCAGCACTTCCCCCACCAGCACTCCAGTGTCCGCACAGACAGCCGTCAGACAACGGAGGTGAGCGGGCTTTCGGGGGACGGGCATCTCTGTCCTTCGCCTTGTAGGACATAGTTCTTCCTGTGGGTCCTGCCGCCGGCCCAGGGACAGTGGGTCTACAGGAGGGACCTCTCCTAAGTGCCTGCGATCCTCAGAAACGAACTTCTTGGGCTGTCTGGTCTGGGTGTGGTGTGCCCTGGGACACATGTCTGAGGCAGGGGCAGGAGAGGCCCCGGAAGCCGAGCGAGGGACAGAGGACGACGCTCTGCCTTCTGACGCCGTCTCTCTCAGCGACTCAGACTCTGATTTCAGCCTGCCTGCCGGTGCTGAGATGGAAGCTCTGTCCCCAGGAGTGCTGCCTGGGGAGGCCCAGGGGGACTCAGACCCTGATGAGTCTCCTTCGCCTCCGAGGGGCCTCCCCACGGCCTCAGTGCAGCCGTTCCACCTGAGGGGCACGAGCTCCACCTTCTCCCGGCGTAGCCACAACATCTTTGACTGCCTGGAGGGCGCAGCCAGGCAGGTTGTGCCCTCTGTGGCCCAGACGGGCCCGGGTGACGACGGGGGCTTCCTTCGGCCACCGGCACCCTCAAGCCAGCCTCCAGGAGAGGGCCCAGGCAGAGCTGGTCAGAGCCCTGCCCCCCCGAAGTTGCCCCCCGTCCCTGACTACGTGGCCCACCCTGAGCGCTGGACCAAGTACAGCCTGGAAAACGTGGCCGAGGTCAGCGAGCAGAGCAACCGGGCCGCCGCTCTGGCCTTCCTGGGCTCCCCGAGCCCGGCTGCCCCCAGTGACTACATGCCCTCTTTCAACCAGGATCCCTCCAGCTGTGGGGAGGGAAGAGTCATCTTCACCAAACCCGCCCGAGCTGGCGAGGCCAGGCCTGAGAGGAAGAGGGCCCTAAGGAAGGCTGGAGAGCCGGGCAGGGCTGCGCCTGGGAACCTGGGCGCCGCAGGGGGTGAGGGCCCTGTGGAGCTGGCCCACCTGGCCGGGCCTGGGAGCCCCGAGGCTGAGGAGTGGAGCAGCCCCCTCGGGGGCCTTCAGGAAGTGGGTGTGCTGCAGGCCGCTGCCCACACTGGGTCAGCAGCCAGGCCCCCGGTGGTGGAGACTGTTGGCTTCCATGGCAGCAGGAAACGGAACAGAGACCATTTCCGGAACAGGAACAGCAGCCACGAGGCCCCAGGTGCCGAGATCTAAGAGAAGAGACTGACCAGGCTGGCAGAGGAGGGCAGCCAGGGCCACTGGGCACTTGGGGTGGCGCGCAGCTCGGGGCCTCAGCCCCTAGGGAAGGGAGCCAGCGGGCTGCCAGTAGGAGGTGCCGGCAGCCTGGGCTGGGGCTCAGGGTAGCGGTCTCTGAAGCAGACTCCTTGCCAGTGGATGGCAAAAACCCTGCCCATCATGTGCCCCTGGGGCAACAGTAAAGGTTTGGGGTATTCCTTTGGCTTTGTGTCTCTGTGTAAATCCACCTCCTCAGGACCAGTGTGCTGGGGCCTCGTCTGCCACCTGGCACACCCACGCGCCCTGTTCTCTCATTCGATCCTCCCCAACTTAGTGCCAGGGGGCATGGAGGCTTTTTAAATCAACGCCTGGGTTTATCAGCAGCTCCTCTTCCCAGAGGGACTGAGGCAGCCCCTCCTGGGTCCAGAGCAAGAGGTGCAGAAGGCCCCGGGCACCTCTAGGGGTGAGCTCATAATCCCGGCTGTCCAGCCTCTGCCCCCAACAGGGCTGGGGACAAGGAATCTTGATGAAATGGGTCTCTAGGAGGCCAGCATGTGAGTGGGGGCAGGGGCCCTCCCCAGCCCTGGCCACTCTTGCCCCTTAGCTCTGGCTTGCCTGGGCTGTGTGTGATGATGACCAGTGTCCTGGGACCACATCGCCAGAACAGCTGAGCTGTGTGCAGGGACCCTGCTGGTGTGCCCGGGCCCAGCGGTGGGGGAAGGAGCACTGGCCCCTGAGGGTGCCAGGGAAGGCAGACCGGGACAAGCATGCCCCCCCGTGCCTGGTGGAGGACATAGCAGAGACTGGCCAGCATGCTGGCCCAGCCCCAGGCCCCTGAGGGAAAGGGGGACCAACGTGGCTAGCCACTCGCCCTAGGTAGGGCCAGCACAGGAGCCTGGAACCCCCTCTCACAGGCAGGTAAACCCACCCACTGCCCTGTGGCCTTTACTGACTTGGTGTGGGTGTGTTCTCTTAGGAGAAAGCAGCCGTGGGGCCAGAGGTGAGTCCTCTTGGGGCAGTGTCCTGGGGCTGTGACCCAGGCTAGACATAGTCCGGCACTTGCCATGTGAGCCGGTGAGGGTGTGCAGGGCTGGGAGCCGACATGCACAGTCAACACCCGGCTCCAGGTCCTAAAGGGCAGAAGTTCTAGCCGCTAGTGTTTCCAAAAAATGAGTTTTAACAGGTGACACAGATTGGGTAGGAGACAGGTATGGGCCCCAAACTGTTGACCACCAGACAGGAGGTGCTTTGGCCTAGGCCGGGCAGTTGTGGCTGGGACCCAGGGGCTCCCCCAGTCTGGAGAGGGCCCACCGTGTGCCGTGCTTCCGCGTGGAGAGAGGTCCCAGGGAAGGGGCAGGGCGAGGGGTGGTTTCTTCTGATGAGGGCACTAGAGTCACGTCCCACGAGGGCCCCGCAAGAGGTAAAGGTTTGGGGTGTCTGTAGGGCCTGGGATGGCTGGCTAAGAGCCGTGTCCCTGCCTGCCCGTCATGATCGGAGTGCTGGGAGAGGTGGGCCCCGTGTGTGGACCGTCCAAGTGGTTCAGGTGTCTGAGAGCCGCCGGCCAGCGTCTGGGTGCTCGCTGCTGCCTGCATCCCCTCGGAGGCCAGCAGAGGCTTGCTGGTGTCCACCTTTGAGGGTCTGGGAGTCTGCTGAGGAAGGAAGACCCCTCAGCTGCTGGGTGTCCGGTGGGGCCAGCCCAGGCAAGGGAGAGGTGGCTCGCACACACGAGCACAGGACACGGTGGCCCCAGCCGGGAGGAGGTGGGGAGCCTCCAGAATCCGAGTGGCCACGCCCTCATGCCGGCTGAGGTGGGGGGCTCCAGCAGAGGGCACCTGCCCCACCCCTGAGACGTCGCCAGCCGTGGGCCATCGAGGCCCGGGCCAGTCCTCTCCCAGGACGGGAAGGCAGATGACAGGGCACAGCGCGACAGTCCTCCGCCTGTCCCTGGGCCAGCCTGTGCCCCTTCCTCAGCTGTGTCTTCCCCGGATGCACACTTACTGCAGTAGGCGCCGTTCTGAGCCCCAGAGGACGGCGGGGGCGTGGAGGACGGCGGGGGCATGGAGGACAGGAGCACCACACAGTAGTTGATCTGAAGGAGGAGGGAGAGGCATCCAGGGGGGCCCCAGGGCCCTGCTACCCCATGACCCTCCCCTCCGGTAGCTGTGCTGGAGGGAACGGGCGTGAGGGCGAGGTTCCAGGTGTGGAGAATGGACAGGTGAGGGGGTCCGAAGGGCAGGACCCCCTCCAGGGAGGGCACGCTGTCCCTGAAGTCACATATGGGGACAGGTACAGGTACTGCACCCCCCAGGGCCTCGCCCTGCCTGCTGAGCCGAAGCCTGGGTGCGGGCCCGGTAGTTTGGATGTTGGGGTGCAGGGCTGTGGGTGAGGGCCCCAGTCAGAAGAGCGCGTGGTCTGCCTGCCTACCTGTGACTCCAAACGCTTGATGCGCTTTTCTTGCTCTCTCAGCCCCCCGAGGTACTGGGCTACAGACTCCACCCTGCAGCAGAAGCTGGTGGGCACAGGGTGCTCCGCATTTGGGCGATCTCCCCATGGTCCCCAGATCTGGGTGCAGAGCCCTTCTGCCCTCCCTGGGAGCTCGATGGGGCTGAGTGACTGCCAGCAAGAGCGGGCGACAAGGGCAGGCAGGAGGCCTGAAGGGACTGCTGGGATGGACCATTTCGGGGGGACCCAGAGCAAGGAGGACCCCACCTATATCAGCCCCTCTGCCCCTCTCAGCTTCAGCCTCCCCAGCTCAGAACTGTGCCCGGCAGGCGGTGGCCACACCAGCTTTAAGGCCGCCAGCCGCTCGGTGGTGATGGGGGCAGAGGTCCCGGGGGATCTTACAACCTCTGGCACCCCGCTAGGCATCCGGCCGTCCCTCGGCAGGCCCTTCGCCAGCTCTGCCAGCCCTTCTTGGTGGCCCGCGGGGGACACAGCCCACCCGTGCAGCCCCCACGCACCTGTGGGCGGTTTTCCGCAGCACCTCCTCCTCGCTGTCCTTCTTCTGCTTCTCCAGCTTACTCAGGTAGTTCTCTTTCTGAACTGCCTCCCAGGTGACCATCTTTTGGTCCAGGGGCTCTGGCAAGTCTCTCTCTGGGAAGGCCAGGGCGGCCACAGGCTTGGCTGGAGCCAGGTGGGCCTCGGGGCCAGGGGAGCCCAGGGCAAGCCCCCCACCCTCCGGATCGCTGCAGACGGGCCCGCGGTGTGAGGGGGAGGAAGGCGATGGGCTCAGCCTATGCTGGAGGGGGGCTGAGGAGGGGACCCACGCCTCCACGCGCCTGCCCACCCGGCACGTCGCCCGTCCCCTTCCATGCGGTCCAGGGCCGCAGGCTGTATCCAGCCCTGTGGCCTCACCCAGGTGCTTCCGCTTCTGCCCGGCCGCCTTCTGGAAGAACCTCTTGAGCACCAGGCTCAGGTGGCTGAGGAGGATGAAGGGCGGCGCCAGGGCGGGGCGCTCGTGGTACTCCACGATGAGGTGATAGCGCTGGAACTTCCAGAACATGTCGGCATTGCCCTGCACCACCTGGAACGTGTAGCTGTGGGGCCCGCGTGTGGGCAGTGGAACACGCATGGGCCTCCCGGGTCCTCCGTCCTGGTCCCTGCTGCGGCCCCACACCATTCCCGGAGGCCCCCCCAGTTCTGTGATTGTCTCCACTCCCTCATTGCCCTCTGCGGGGTGTGTCTAGAACGGGGTTCGCTCACGTGGGGTCTTCACCATCCCCTCTGCTCTCCTGGACAAGCCCAGGCTTCCCTGGTGCAAACCTGCCTGGGGAGCCACCCTTCCCCATGCCTGTCATTCGCCCCACCGCCTCCTTGGGGCCCTGCCCTCCCTCAGCCTGTGGTCCAGGCTCCAGTCCCTCCGGGGGCGGGGGTGCAGAGAGGCCCCCGCAGCCCGAGGCCTAGAGGGCTGGGCACTGGGGTCCCTGGGGCCCCCCACACATGGAGGGAGCACAGGGAGCGGACCACCTGAACATGGCGATCAGCAGGTTCATGAGTAGCACGTTGGTGACCAGCAGGAAGGTGACTAGCAGGAGGATGACCAGCCAGTTGGCATAGAGGTTCGGGCAGGAGGGGGAGTCCTCCTGCAGCAGGGGGTGCAGGGAGCAGTTCACGTGGGCTTCTGAAACACAAGTGGCATGGTGGGGGCCGCCTCCCCATGACACCCTCCGATCTTGAGAGCTTCCTCGTGGTGAGGCCACCCAGGGGTGGAGGGCACCGGCCGGGGGATTATCGGGCTTAGCACTGAAAGTTCCTATGTTAGAACTTTCGCTGTCCTTCTTCTGCTTCTCCAGCTTACTCAGGTCCTGGCAAACCAGGGAGACAGTCAGCCAGGGGCACTGGTCCCACTCCCCCACCTCCTCCTGACTGCGGTCACAGCAGGGCCACAGGTTCTGGGGGCAGAGCCAAGGCCATCTGGGGGATGGGGCACAGAGGACCCCAGTTTCTGCCGGTAGGTGTGTGCATTCCCCACCACTAGCACCACCAAGGGCTGTGCTCGAAGCTGGTGTGGAGAGAGCTGGCCGAGGCGAGGAGTGACCCTGTCTCCCCCTGCAGGACTTGTCAGGGCCTTTATAACACTAAAGCCTGTCACGTGGCACCCGGCGGCGGGGGAGCAGGGCAAGTCTGCACCATCTCCAAAGCTCATCTGGCCACACCGCCCTTGACCCTGATTGCCACAGGCAGTGTGGACACACAGCACCTCTGGGCCAGCTCACAGAACATTCTCCGGCCAGTGGGAATGAGTGTGCGATCTGGCAGCAGGCTGAGCTCTGCACCCTGGGCGGGTGTGCCCTGGGGGGCCCGGGGATCACAGCTCTGGCCCCTCACCAGCCAGCACCCCCACGCTCACGGGACAGGAGGCGTGGGAGGAAGGAGCAGAGCGTGAGCGCACAGGCCATGGGCGCCCGGGGTGCTTGCCGCATCTTCCTCAGGAGGGGGCCCGTGGCCGCATATGTGCGCGTGCCCGCGTGGACGCTGCCCACGCCTGCACGCTGGACCGTTCCCACGGCTGCCTCTCTGGGCATCTGTGCTGTGAGGCCTCGGTCTCTGTCTGCGTGTCCCCACGCTGTGCGCACATGTCAGGCTCAGGGCCTGTCTTCCTGTGTCCGTGTCTCCCCCCGCCCCCCGGGAGGGAGCCTCTCCTACTTTCTCCTGAGGGAGTTTTTGTGCCGGGCCAGCCACGGGGAGCTGCTGAGCATGCTGAAGGGCGACGACCCTCCTCCCTCCCCCAGCGCCCACGCGCCGAAGCAGTGAGACCCCTGTGACCCCCAGAGGTGCCACCAGGCCAGGCTAGAAATTAAATTGTCCCTGGGGCTGAAGCCAGACTGAAGTCAGCCCCGGGGCTTCCCGCCTGGCGTGCAGGGACGGGGCGGGCAGGGTGGCACTCTGGGCCCCAGGCCCACCGGCTGCATGTGAGTGACTCAGCCTAACCCTGCCGCCCCGTGGTGGGGTTACCGAGGCCTGAGCAGACAGGAAGCCCAGCCCCAGGAGGGGAAGGGGCCTGCCCGGGACCCTCAGGGAGCGGGCCCAGGCCTGGCCCTAGTCACGGGCTTCCTGCTACAGCACTCTGGCCGCCTGAGGTAGCCCAGGGGCTGGGGGGAGGCCTGCACTCCCTCTGCCCTCCCTGGGTAGCCCCGGGCTCCTGGGGAACAGGGGCTGTGACCCCGCCACACACCACTGTCCCCCATAACAGCGTGTGGCTGGGGTCCGAGATGTGGCCCTCCGAGGGACCCAGCGCTCCCCGCCTCCCAAGGGCCCCCGCAGGACAGGGCGGCCAGGGGCCATACGGGGAGGGAGGCTGAAACTAAGGGCCTAGAACACTGCGGAAGAGCAAACACCGAGGAGTCACAGGGGGCAGCCCGCACAAACAGACCAAGGGAATGGGCCTACAGAACACCCCAGTTAGCTGATTGCCCTGGCGGTGGCGCCCCTCCCCATCCTGGCAGCCCGTGTCTGCATCGCTCCCGCTCTCACCCCATTGACAAATCCATCCCGCGGGTGGCGGGCATGCTGACCCCGCCTCACTAGCTAAGGTGGTCGGGTCAGGCCTTAGACGCAGGGCGCCCGTGACTGCCCTGGGGCCCCGGGTGGCCCCGGTCCTGCGCCAGCCGGAGCAGACGCCCCTCCCTGAGTCCTCACGTGGGCCTCTGGCGCTGGCTCAGCTTCCTTGAGGGTCCAGTTCCCCCTCCTCCTCCTCACCGAATCCTGGCCATCTCCAGGGCCTGTAGAGGTGTCTCTGGCCCGCACGTCAGGGCTCCCCTGCACCTGTCACCACCCAGCCCCTGACGGAGGAGCAGCTCCGCCTCCCGACCGTACCCCCTGCCTGGGAAGTTCTTGGAGCCTGCACAAGGGCCAGCTGGAGACACCTACACCCTCTGATAGGCGTGCACACTTGGCAGTGGGTAAGGCACACACACTGGGGTGTGTCCCCGGAAGCAGCAAGGGCGCTGTCAGGAACGGCCTCTCGGTAGAGGGGCCTTGCCAGCAGGCGGGCCCAGGGCCCTGTGCGGAGCCTCTGGCAGAGGGGTGGGGGACAGGGGGGCCCGCTGGGCAACAGGGCCGCCCAGGAGGGCAGAAGCACCAGTGCGTGGATCGGCCCCGTGGTGGTGAGGGATGGACTGGGATGGCCCCTGTCTGCTTTGCAGCCTCCTCGCGCCTCGGTTCCTAGCCGGGTGCCCCAAGTCTCGGGTCCCTGTGGTCAACAGAAGTCAGCCCGGAGCTGTCCCTGGGCTGTGGGGCCTGGGGGCCAGCCTCAGGGACTTCCCCATCTCAGCTAGCTCCAGGCTGGGGCCTCATGTGACCCCGGAAGAGCCCTCAAGGGCCCCATGTCCACTGTGTTTTAAAAGGAGGCTGTAAACCAGACCCCATCTGGCTGCCCCACAAAGTGTGGGGTCCTTCCAGCCAGCTCAAAGGCGCGCCCCCCCCCACCCCTGGCCATGTGCTAACCATCGATCTCGTCCAGTGGGATTTGCCCGAAGATCTGCAGGTAGGGCCGGTAGAGCACGCGGCGGAAGACCCACTCCAGGCGCCCGTCGTGGGGGTGCAGCAGCGCCTGCGTGGTCACACCATAGGCCACAAGCCACACGCTCAGGAAGAAGAGGAAGAAAAAGACGTCCTTCATCTCCGGGGGGAAGCAGAGTGTTAGCAGTCGCCCGGCTGGGGGACGCTCTCTCACCCACCCCTGGAGCCAAGTGGGCTCAGGCGCAGCCGGCGGCTCACCATGCGCTCCACGATGATGATCTTGGGGCCCAGCTGCTTGTGGATGGCGAAGATGTGGATGAGTCGGAGCGTGAACACCATGAAATCAACGGCAAGGACTGTGCGGCCCGCCTCAAACATGGAGGGCACCATCCTGGGGGAGGGTGGTGGGTTGGATGGGCTGTTGGTGCCCAGAGAGGGGAAGGAGCGTCCTCCAGGACACACAGTGCGGGCGCCAGAGACAAGCCGGGATCTCTGAGGCCTTTCGTGGCTTCATCCTGCAGGTGGCCCTGCCCACCGGCCCAACCGAGCTGGCCCCCGTCAGCCTCTGGGCCCCACAGACCTGCAGGTGACACCGACAATGAACAGGAAGATGGCCCCCATGTCACACTTGTTCCAGTTATCTTCCACGTAGAGTGTGAACTTCTTCACCAGATGTGTGTCCTCGTCTGTGAAGAATCCCTGGCAGAGGGGCAGACAGTCTGCTGACGGCTCACTGGAGACAGCCCTGCCCGGCCCAGGCTGGGGTCGACGGGGATCAGGGCTCAGCCTGGAGCCGGATCAGGGCTCAGCGGGCTCGGCCCACCACTGACCTGCCGGATCTCTTCCAGCACCAGTGTAAAGACCCAGAAGTAGAGGGTGACCTCAGGCCCAGATGGCCCCTGAGGAGGTGGCCTGAAGTCCACCAGCAGGACGTAGGTGAACAGGAAGAGGAAGGCAAAGTACATGACCACGTTCCCCAGGAACACGGTCACGGGCGCGCCCCAGAACATGCGCCAGCGTGTGAGCAGGAAGGCAGCACGCGGCCCTCGGTCGCCCTGAGCCCTTGGTGCCTCAGCCAACTCCTCCAGCCTGCAGCACAAGGAGACCACAGCCGGCGGTGAGGCGGGCGGCCCGTACGCCAAGGCACGAGTGCCACCCCCTGGCCAGCCCGCCCCATGGCCCTCACCCGCTGCCCGGGCTGCAGAGCAGGCTCTTCTCCGTGTCCAGGCTGTCCAGCTCCTGCAGGCCCTCGGGGCCCGTCCTCAGCGGGACCTCCTCGCTGCAAGCACAGGGGACCCTCAGGGCCCACGGCGAGGGTACCAGCCCGCAAAGGAAGTGCTGAGTGCACTGAGAAGGTCAGCGCACAGCGGGGCGCACACGGATGCCGGAGACGCACCCCCAGCAGCACCCGCGAAGCCCAGGCGCCCCCCCCCGCCCACCGCCCGTGGCTGGCAAATGGCAGCTGCCTGCGCCCAACACACCTGAAGGTGATGAGGTTGGTGTAGATGAGGGCCGGGCAGAGGAAGGCACACAGCAGCCACAGGATGGGCGTGCCCGATGCCATGTCCCCCCACCAGATCTTGGTCAGGAAGGCCTGAAATAAAGGCACCGCCGCTGGCCTGCCACCCCCACACCTTTGCTCACGCTGTGCCCGGCACCAGGCGCGCCCTCCCAGGCTCAGCCAAAGCCTCGCCCTGCATCCCGGTGGGGAAGACCCTCCACGGCGGGGAGGGAGGCTAGGTTTGGGGGTGCGGGAGGGCCGAGTGGAGGAGGCGGCACCTCTGCTGAGATCCGAGGCAGACAAAGGTCTGGCCAGGGGCAGCGAGAAGGAAGCCAGGCAGGTGCCTTCCAGGAGCAGAGCTCCCCTCCTGCGCCCCCTGCCCTGCGTGACCAGGACTTGAAGAGCGGAGGCGGGGGAGGCCGGCCCTCCCTGAAGCCAGACGCTCACCTGCACCCCATCGTGGGCAAAGAAGGCCTTGGTGTCGGCCTCGGTGGCCAGGTGCAGACAGGTGGTCCTGCTCCAGCAGCGGTTCCTGCGCACCAGCAGGGCGAACGCACGGTCCTCGCTGTTCCTGTAGCACTCGGAGAAGAGACCTGCCCGGGGACACCGGCCGCTGGTACCCACAGGGCCACGGCCCCCGGCCTCCTCCCTCCTGTGCCCGAGCCGTGCCCAGCTTCCCGCATGGACACTGGCCGTCCCCGCCTGCCCTGCCCTTCCCTGCCCCCATCGTCACCCCACGTGCCCCGACCGACCCCCAGCAGGACCCAGTGTGTGCCCAGGGCCACCGCCGAGGACCCCTCTGTCCCTCTGTTAGAATGTTAGGGTCCGCCTCCCCACTAGGAGGAGCCTCTGAATGGACCCCGGGCCCCTGCTGCGTGCGGCGGCTGGGCGCCGGGCCGGTGGCTCACCCAGGGCCAGCTGCTCGTACTTGGCCTCGCTCACGGTGCAGTGCACCCCCGCCCCGGTCTCCAGGCGCGACATCTCTCTGAGGATCTTGCAGGCGGCCAGAGCGGCGGCCACCCCCTCCTGGCCCTAGGAGGCAGGGTGAGAGGAGGCGGCCTGCCCCGCCCCGCCCCCCGCCCCCCGCCCCAGGAGCCCGAGGCCAACCCACCATGGCCCAGAAGTAGGTGGCCATGTCCTGTCGGTTTTGCAGCACGGCCCAGAGGAACAGGTCCCTCCAGGGGTTCTCGCTCTTTCGGTTCAGATCCAGCAGCCACTTCCGGCCCTCGGGCCGCCTGGCCGGTCCCCGTTCCTGGAGGACAGGGCCGTCAGCCTCCTGGCGGCCCGGCCCAGCCCCTCCCGGCCGCCGGCCCGCTCACCTCCTGGTAGAGCCCGCGACAGGCGTCGTGCAGGAAGTCCTTGAGCAGGCGGGAGACCTCGTGCAGGGAGAAGGCGGGCAGGCCCCCGGGCGGCTCGCGGGCCTGCTGGGCGCCCAGGCCGGCCAGTGTCAGCCGGCCCTCCTCGTGCTTGCGCTGCAGCAGGTCGAAGAGCAGGCTCTTGGGAGGCGCGGAACGGTAGAGCTGCTGAAGCCTCCCGTACGTCAGGAAGTCCCCCACGTCGGCGCCGTTGTCCACAAAGAGTCGCACAAACTCGGGCTTGTCACTCACCAGCGCGTCCATCATCACCTCCTCCAGGTCACAGGACTGGGGCCCCAACGGAACACGCCCGGGTGGGGGAGACGGGCAGAGTGAGTGGGAGCCGGGGCACGGGGAGCCCCCCAGCTCCTGTCCCTCTGAGCCGGCTCCGGGCCACCAGGGGCCACCAGTCCTCCCTGGGGGCCGTGTGCGAGGAGTCGCCAGCAGGTGCCCTGGCCTCCCGCCCCCCTGGGCCACAGCGGGCAGGAAGGGGCCCGTCAGTGGCCCTGGGAACACCGTCTGCCCCCAGGCCCTTGACACGGCCCCAGCCCTGTGTCGCCCTGTGTCGGCCAGAAATGCGGCTCAGGAGGAATCAGCCGGCCGGCGGGCGGGCACCTTCCACTCCACGTCCCCATTGAAGATCTCGCTCCTGGCGATGTCCACGCGGTCCCAGGCCACGGCCAGCTTGAGCTCATCCAGGTAGTCCTGTGCTCCCTGGCTGTGGCTCTTGCAGGCTGTGGGCAGAGCGGGCGGGAGGTGAGGGGCCAACCCAGGGGTCCACAGGGCCCCTCACGGTGGTCTTCCGGACACACAGCCCGGGAACCGCAGCTTGCTTCACACCCTCTGAATAATGGTGAGAGGCTCCCAGAAGCCGGTGCTGGGAACCCGGGCAGAAACGCCGGCCCCGGGGACCCTGATGGGACGGGGTGAGCGGAGCTGGAGGGAGGGCACGGCCTGTCTGGAGGAGCGTCCCCTCCCTCCCTCCCTCCAGGGCATCCTGGCCCCAAACTCCCCCTCCGGGCCTGGGTCTATGTCTGGCTTCCCCAAGGTCAGTCCCTTGGCATGGCTGGTCTCCAATACGAAAAGCATGTCGAGTGACAGGTGGATGGTGAATCAGCCCAGTGTCGTTGATCAAGGAACAGGGAAACACAAGGCAGTCCTTGCACACCGTGGAAGATCCCTCAGCCTTAAAAAGCAATGAGGCACCCACCCGTGCCGTGGCCTGGGCGATGCAGTGACGGGAGCCGAAGGCCACACACCGTAGCCCATTGATAGGAAGGGCCCCAGAAGGGCACATCCGTCCAGGCAGAACGCAAGCCAGTGGGCGCCAGGGGCCCGGGAAACAGGGCGTGCCAGACGGCTGCCAGCTTGCTTTGGGGGCAGTGAAGGCGTTCCGGCATTAGACGGTGGGGATGGTTGACAACTTGCAAAGGGACTAAAAGCCCCTGGATTGGACACTTTAAATAGTTTCTTAAATTATGGTAAAACATAGCAGACCTAAAACCTGGCAAACACGACCCTGTGCGGATCTGTGGGTCATCTCTGTGTCGTTCCAGTTGTGTTACATGTGCTGCTGGAAATGTGAGCGCCGGGTCGCACACGCACGCACACTCGCACTCACACAGGTGTCCGCACACGTGCACACGCACACACGGGTGCTCACACTTGTGCTCACACATACACAGGCACACACACCCATGCACATGTGTGCAAATGCACACGCACACACGGGTGCTCACACGTACGCAGGCACACACGCCCATGCACACATGTGCAAATGCACACCCACACACGGGTGCTCACACTCGTGCTCACACATACGCAGGCGTGCATGCACACACAGCAGAGGGATGCCATCCCAGGAGTCCCAGCTGCGGACGTCCCACCTGGGGGGTGGCCCTGCCCCACGTGCCAGGCCCGCAGGGTGAGAGCCGCGATGGGACAGGGTGCAGAGCCCGGGGCCGTGGGGAGCAGTGGCTGGCCTCCCCGCCTCCACCTGGGGCCCTCACCTTTCACCAGCGCCTTAAGGATGACGGTGTCCAGCTCCTCGGAGCTCTCCTGCTCGAAGTCGTGCACGGTGAGCAGTTGCGGGTGGGAGGTGATGTTCTGCAGCTGGGACATAGGACAAAGGCCCTGAGGTGGCCCTGGGGGCAGAGGGCAGGCCGGTGGGCAGGCCACAGGCCCAGCACGGACAGAGGCACCGGCCGGGCACTTGGCGTGTGAGGCGGGTCCTAGCGAGCAGGCCAGCCGGCTGCCCAGGGCACCGAGGCAGCACCCCAGCACAGGGGGCTCGCTCCCAGGTCCCTTGCTCCAAGGGCCTAAGGCAGAGCCAGCTTGGAGGCTTCGTGGGGAGGGGGAGGAGCGTGGGACTTCTGTGCGGGCCGGGGGCATGGAGGCGCCCAGGAGGAGTTTCCCCCTGGGCCAGCCCCCCCACCCCCAGGAGAAGGGGATGGGACAGGGAGGAGGGCCTCGGCCTTTGGACCCCACAGTCCCTGGGAGGCCCCTACCAGCTCGGTCCAGTGTACGATGTCCTCCCAGCGGAAATGTTCGCCCGGAAACTTCTCTTTAAACTGCTTCTCGGCCACCTGCGGCACCAGGAGGTCGGGCTGGTTCAGCAGGGCGGCCAACACGTCCGCGATGCCCCCTGAGCCTGCCAGGATCAGCCACGGGGCAGCATGCTCCACGGCCCTGGAAATCCTCTGAGGCAACACAGTGGGGAGAGTGGACCCCACATCAGCGTGGGTGCCGTCCTGAGCCCACATGCTGGAGGTGCCCCGTCCCAGGCCGGGGAGGGCCCTGCAGGCAGCCACGGCCGGCCCGGGGGGCTCCTGCCAGGCCCCCGCCCCCCTCCCCTGCCCTACCTCCAGGGTGCTGGGGTCACCATTGACCAGCAGACAGAGGACCGGGACCTCGATGCTGCCGGTGCCTGTGGACAGAGCTCCCGTGAGGTCTGCCCTCGTGCCCGGGCAGGGGGGGCTGGCACCCTCCCCGTGGGGAGGCTGCCTGCTCAGACCACCAACCCACCCCATTTTCTGGGCAAATGCTGGCCCAGAGGCAGGTTCTAGTGAACGTGGGCTCCAGGCTGCTCTTCACACACACCAACCCCTTCACCTGGGGACCATTTTGGCCACTCACGGCTATTCCCACAGAAAGAAATGTCAGTGAAGTCAAACGTGCAGTCCCCAGCCGCACCAGCCACAATTGGGTGCCCAGCATCTACCCCTATTGCGGCAGAAAGCTCTCCAGCTGCCCTGAAGACCGTTGGAGACCCACAGAAGCAAGCCAAAAAGGTAAAGGAGGGGCCCGGCCTGTTGGTCCCCCAAACATAAACCAGAAACGAGACTGCGGAATGTGAAGCCAGCTGGTGCTGGGCAGGCAGGGGCCACCAGGCTCCCGGCAGGTGCCTCCTGATCGAATCTGGAGGCTAGATGAGCGTGTGGGGGCCATCCAGGCTTCCGCAAACCGGAGCAATGCACCACCTCTGTGGTTTAAACATGCCTTTGGTTGTGTTTTCGTTTTTGAAGAACACTCAGTTGATAAATATTTTATATTGCTTATAAATATCATAAGCAATCATGTTTTGTGTATAAATTTTTGTTACACACCGGAGTTAATCCAGCTTTGAAACCCACCGCTGGCTGCGGCGGGGCCTATTCCTCAGGTAACGCTGCCCTCTGGTGGCAGCGTACCTCCTGGCTGGTACAGGGAAATGGGCCTCTCAAAACTTGCAGATCCGTTTTCTTCCCAAAGTCCTGAGCCCACAGGAAGAGCCTCTGGCCAGGGGCGCCCGGGTGCAAACACGCTGGCAACTACTCGGCCATCCGGCGGGAATGCCGCTGCCTGGCAGGGCTACACCCCGAGCTGTGCGCCCGCCAACCCGCTGGCAGCCTCCCATCCCAGCCCGGTCTCCGCACCCACGCATGCTCGGTGCCTTCAGCCCGGCATGCCCTACCCTGCCCACCTGTGGTCCTTCCAGCCCTGCCCACACGCTGTGCCCCCGGGACCCCCCCCCCCGCAACCCCCTCCCCAGGCCTCACCCCCATAGCCAGTTCTCTGCTCCGAGATGTGCTTCTCCAGCCTCAGCCTCAGCTCTGTCAGCCCGTCCCCCTTCCCGGGGGGCCCAGGCTCCACCAGGATGAAGTGGGCCTGGTTGTTGTCCAGGGAGTAGAGGGGGCCCTGGCTGCTGCCGTCATCCGTGGGGTAGTGGACGGGGCTGTGCTCCTGGACCCCCACCCCACACACAGCATGAGGCCGGGGCCGGGCCTGTTCCCACCCCCAGCCAGAGGGAGGGCCGCGCAGCAGGCGCCTGGGGCCCAGGGGCAGGCAGGGCGGGGAGTGGGTCCTCCAGACCCAACCCGGGCGGAGGAAGCTCCCCGCACTGCCCGGCCCTGCCTTAGACAGACCCTGAGCTGGGAGCCGAGCCCGCTCGACCGGGGTCGCCCAGGCTTGCTGTGACCGTCTGGGCCTCATCCTGGTCCTGGGCAGAGGGTCTGTCTGTGCTGGCCGCATGCCGGGCTCCCCCTCCTCCCCCTCCTGCTTCCTTTCCTTCTTCCTTCCCCTCCCCCTTCCCCTCCTCCTTTCCCCTCCCCCTCCTCGCCCTCCTCCTCCTCCTCCCTCGTTCTCCCCCTTCTCCTTCTCCCCTCTCCCTGCTCCCCTCCCACAACTTCCCCTCAGTGTCTCAACCCTTCAGGATACCTGCCTCACTCCCAGAGCCCCACCCCACCCCCACCCAGGGCAGAGGCTACTCTGTCCACTGCGGGCCTGGTACGCAGAGAGCATCTCAGGAGATGTTTGCCAAATGCCCCGTGGGCAGCAGATGGGCGGCTGTGGTCAGCCTTCAAGACTGCACTGGTGGCATCCTCGGCGGACCCCTCTCCCACCCTGGGGTGGGGGATACCTGGGGGTTGTGGGCCCCTCCCTGCCTCCTAGGTCCACCTTGCCCAGCGGCCGTGGTACTCCAAGACAGACGCCTACCTGGGCATCGTCCAGAAGCTGACGGTGCAGGACGTGGCCCAGCGAGGCAAGGCCGATGGCCACCACACGGGCCCTGGTGGACGTGCTGGCCAGCGAGTGGTCACGCACGACCTGCCCGACGTACCGGGCGAGGCCCACTCGGAGCGCGCTGGTCAGGATCCAGGCCCCTGCGGCATGGGGCTCAGTGTGCCTGTGGCCCCCAGGTCCTCCCCCACCAGCTGGTAGGCCCAGGTCCCCAGGCCCATGGGAGCCACGGCACCTCTCCCACCTGCGGGTGTCAGCTGGGAGTGGGCCCCCGGGTGGCACCCTGGGCAACAGGCCACAGCTCCGCCCCGTTGTCTGGGCCGGGACCAGAGCCTGCAAGGGTTTCTCCAAATCAGGAAGCCCTCGGCCCGGCGGGGTCTGTCGGCCTTTTCCTTTGCTGCCCCAATGATCCCCTCTGTGGCGAGGGAGCTCAGAAACCCCACGACCTTGCACTGGGTTTTCTGCAGGTTCAGCTGGCCCGGACATGGAGCCTAGTAATCTGGTTCTGACCCAGTCCAGCCAGGCTGCTCCCCTGAGGGAGGCGGGGAGGGCAGTGGGGGCCGACCCGCAGGCACGGGGTGCAGAAGGGCTGCCTCCCCTGGGGGCATCTCACCAAGGCCCATGGGGGGAGGCCTGCAGCTCCTGGGGGAGGCCTGAACCTGGGGGACCTCAGCCGCTGCCCTGCATCCCCAGGAGCTGCTCCCATTGCAGGCCACGCGGAAGGAGCCACATAGGCCAGCGGGCTGGGGTGCTCCCCGCTCAGCTCTGGGGGGGCCTCACCTGTGCTCTGAGCTGCCTTCACCAGCCCCTTGCGCAGGACATCCCGCAGCCAGGACTTCATGGCGAACGGCCGCTCCTCGCCCACCAGGGACACCACCAGGTTGGGAGCAGTCAGGTGCCACTCGGCCAGCAGGAGGTCGAAGAGCTCGGAGGGGGCCACATCGCTGGGCACCTTCACGAACTGCAGGGCAGGATGGCAGCCTCAGGGTCCAGGGTGGGGGGGTGCTGGGCATGGGGCACTGGGCACTGGGGGGCACGGGTCACTGGGCACAGGGGACATGGGGGCGCTGGGCACTGGGGGATGAGGAGAGAGGCTGAACCCCTTTAGGGGCAGGGTGGCAGCAGGAAACCAGGGCTCAGGTGGTCCTGCCTTGATCTGCCTGTGCCCCAGGCAGCCCTGACTCCTGTCTGGGCCTTGCTTCCCTCTCCACGGGGGGTGGGGGGTGGAGAGAGGAGGGGTCCTGGATGTACCGTGCAGGGGCAGGAGGTGGGGGCCAGAGGGCACTGGGAGCTCTGCACCTTGCTGGCCCAGGGGCTCTGAACTCAGCCCCGAGTGAGCAGGCACAGGGGGCTCCGTGCTCAGGGGAGGAGGTGGGAGCTCAGGAGTGGAACAAGCACTCGGTGGTTGGCCCCCAGGGCGTGGGGGCCCAGCCTCACTGTTGCAGGGAGGGCAGCCCCCTTACCTTGCCTCGCTTCTTCCCAGACCCCCCAAATTCGATCTCGCCCCGGCACAGGCCGGGCCCCGAGCCGGGCGCAGCAGCCCTGGGGCCTCCAGGACAGGTGCCCCCGGCCTCCTGCATGAGGACCTCCCTGCGGGCACAGAGCCGACCTCTGAGGGCAGGAGAGGCGAACCCTGCCCCCTCCCTGCTGGGGCCAGCAGCTGCCATGCTGACAGAGACTGGGGCCACCAACAGGTGTCCCCGCCCCAGGGCCCTCCCCAGCAGCTAGCCCAGCCTAGAGCCCCACCATGACGTCCACAAGGCCCCCTTCACAATCCGGCTTCAGTTGTGGGGAACCTCCCTCACCCCACCCCCTTCCCAGATGGGGAGGGGGCGCATCCTGGCCCCTCTACCTGGCTCCCCGTCCTGCTACTCACCCCGCCCTGGGCGCCTCTGGCCGACCACTCCTGTCACCACTCCCGCCGAGGCTTTGGTGGGGGCTGTCCTAGAAACCCAGAACGTCTTACGGCCTTCCGGACACACAGCCCACCCTCCCCACACTCTCATTGGCCCCAGGATGGGGATGGACACCCTGGGTGTGCCTGGGCAGGGAGGGGGCTGGCTGGTGTCCACAGCTTAGGTGCAGGGGGCCGAGGGGGACCTGGGGAAGACCGTGTGGGTGTGGGGGAGGGACAGACCACCCCTTCTTGCCAGAAGGCCCAGGGGGGAAGGCACCCTGCCCCAGGCTCTCCCCACCAAGTTCCTGCCCCAGCCCTGGCCCGCTGCCCGGCTCAGTGCCCAGCACTGCACCCTAGACTCTCTCAGGCGGGTCGGGCACGTCAGCCCCACCCCATTCACCGGGGACGGAGGGCTGGGGGCCCACAACCGGCCCAGGTGATGAGGAGCTGGCTCCCAAGGGCCTACCTGGCTGCAGGCACCCCAGGGTCCCCCCACCGGCCAGCCCACATCCCCCAAGGTCTCCCCCACCCACCAGCCTGCATCCCCCTGCCACCCTTGGCTGCCCAGCCACCTGTCCACGCGGGCTCGGCAGACACCCTCCCGCTGAGCCAGTCTCCCAGCTTCCCTGGGGCAGCCCCGCTGGCCCCCTCCCCCCAGGACGTGTCCTTGGGTGAAACCCTTTCCCCTGGCAGCCCCCCAGGCAGCCCACCCTTTGTTCGTTAGAGAGGGGCGGCCTGTGTACACAGGAGGGGAGGGTGGGTGGTGGGTGGGGCCCTGCCCATGGGACAGGGACCTGCATCCTCACGGCCCTCACCGCTGGGTCCCCCAGACGGACACGTACAAGTCCCGACTCCTGGCACCTGCGAACCATCTGTGGAAATACGCTCTTTGCAGAGGTGATCAGCTCAAGACGAGGTCGTCAGGGTGGTCCCTAACCCAGTGACTGGTGTCCTCGTAAGAAAAGGGTAGAAACCCACTTGACCTCACAGGCAGAGGCCGGAGGGGTGCACTCCCAAGCCCAGGACCACCTGCAGCCCCAGAAACTGGAAGAGGCGAGGCAGGACCCTCTGCTCCCTCTTCGGAGAGTGGGCGGCCCTGGGGGGCGATGCACTGTTCGTGGTCGTGTGTGAGGCCGCTGGGGACACCCCTGCAGCCATCAACCCCAAGGGCCCAAGGAGCCGAGGCGGCCAGACTTGCTGGTGCCCCCGCCCCCCCAGATCCCCTGCATCCAGGCCTGGCTGGGCCTCCAGCCGCTCAGGCTCTGTACAGACAGCCCCGGGGGCGGCGGGTGGGATGCAAATCCTCCTGGCTTCCCCTTCCCAGAGCAGGAACCTGGGCCCGATTTGAATGTGGCCTTACCGAGCTGGTGACTATTGACTTTGAATGGGAGGCTGGTGTCTGGGGAAAAGGCCTGGGTGTGCATGGGAGGCAACAAGGCACGGGCCAGGGCAGCTATGACGAAGTCCCACAGACCGGGCGGCTCAGAGCCCTTTACTCCCTGCTCCAGAAGTCCAACACCGAAGTGTCGCAGGGTCTTCCTGGTCCCCTCTGCTTCCCGGGGGCTCCAGGTGTCCCTGGGCTGTGGTCCCTGGACCTCAGCCTCTGCCTTCATCCTTCCGTGGCCTGCCCTGTGTCTCTCTGCCCAAATGTCCCTCATTTCACGGGGACACCGGTTGCTGGATAGGGGCCTACTCGACCCACTGTGACCTCGTCTTAACGAGGGGGCTGGCTTGTGCCCACAGCTCAGGTGCAGGGGGCCGAGGGGGACCTGGGGAAGACCTGGGGAATGACAGCTGCATAGACCTTATTTTCCAGATAAGTCCCATTCCGAGGTTTGGGGGACATTCCTCTACCCCAGAGTACAGGCGGCGGTGGGGGCAGGGGTGCGGACGGGACAGGGACCCTCGGGGCTGCTGTCTGGGGACAGCCCTCCCTCCCGCCCGCCTGGGACCTGTCATGCCCTCTGCCCAGTAGGGTCATCTCTTGCCACATCTGGACACGCGCTGCAAGCAGGAGGCTCCCAGCTGGGTGTGGGGGGGTTTGGGGGTTTGGGGCCTGGACAACAGTGATGGGCTCAAACTCCGTGAGCCTCACGCTGGCTGGGCCGGGGAGGGGGCCTGGCGGGGACAGCAGTGGGCGGCCTCTGGAGTTCCTCCTCTGACTCCGGGCCCCTGTCCTCACTGATGGGACAGGTGGTCCCGAGCAGGAGTGGAGCGCAGGCCTCGCCATCCCTGGGACCACAACTGCCACTGCTCAGGCCACGCTCCAGCCTGGGGCCTGGGGCGGCATTTGGGCATTGTGCCGGGTGCTGGGGTGGCACGGTGCCAGAGGCCAGGCAAATAGGGCCAGTGGGAAGGGTATGCAAACAGGCAGGATTTGCATGAGCAGGTGTCCGGGTCTTTAATGGCCCCCCCTTGTTCCTGGAGAGGTGCGGGGGGAGTCAAGGAAGCTAGGGGTGGGATCCTATCTAAGCCCTGGTTGGAATCCGATCCCACAAATCCTGATCAGGGAAACTGAGGCAAAATCTCCAGCCCTGGCAGCCAAGGTACTGGGGGCTCTCACTTGGGGGACAAACGGCCACCCCTTCTCGGAGGCCATCAGGGAAACGGCCCCAGTGTGGACGCAGCCAGGCAGCCAGGCCCCAGGGGTCCCGGTCCAGCTCGTCCCCCAGATGTGTGACCTTGGGCAGCCCCTCAGACTCTCTGGGCCCTTCTCTTCCCCCTTGAGATGTAGGGAGAGAGCAGCGATGAGAAGGCACCCACTGGTCCCACACCAAGCTCTGCAGGCCAGCAGGCAGCGCCGTGGCCCTGATGTCGCCCAGGTGAGGTGCGGGTCTCCCCAGAACAGGCGTGGAGGGCGCGGAGCCGGGAGAAGGCCGTGCAGGGGAGCCTCCCCCCCCGGACCGGCGCCGGCTAGGCCCCTGCCCCCTTCCCTGGCGGTTTGGGCAGATGCTACACCAAAGTCCAGGACCTTGGTCCTGCTGCCCAGACCCACCCCAAGCACTGGCTTTGGGCCTGGGGCAGAGAAGCCCTCACCCACAGAGAGGCTGTCCCCCCACAGCCCCCGGAAGGCAGGATTCTCTCCAGGCTCCAGACCAGGGATGCGGCCGGAGCGCGTCCCCTGCGGCAGCACCTACCCGTCCCACCTGGAGGAGGGGACCCCCTGCTCCTGCCCCCACCTGGAGGCTGGCAGCTCGGGGCACCTACCTGCCTGCCTTCTCCCCGGCGCCCGGACACGCGGCTGCTGGCCGGCGAGCAGAGGGGAGGCTGCCCACCGCACGGGGCGCCCGCCCGCGAGCTCCCTGCTCCTCCTCCCTCCCGCTCTCCACCCCGGCACCTGGCAGCCAATGCCGTGAGCTGCACGGCTGCCACCTGATCGGGGCACGGCAGACCCACAGGCCTGCTGTGGCCAGAGCCACCGGCGCAGAGGGCCAGCCCTCCCCGGCCCGCCTGGCCCAGCGGCGCCTGGGCTCCGATGGGTGGGCCCCCGTAGCACTGGCTGCCAGGCCACCTCCTTGCTGTCGTGCCCTCCACGTGTGGCCCGGGGCTGAGTCCGGTCAGTGTCACACCCGACATACCTCAGTTTCTCTCTCCAACCAGCAGGAATGGCAGACCCCAGAGTGTGCGGCCCAGCCGCCACGGCCGCGTCCCAGGGCGCATGGTCCTGGAGGTGACCCGCCGTGAGCACTGTCTTCAAGCAGGGCAGGACAGAGTGCCCGGGTGTGTGTGGGCGGGGTGCTGTCGGGAATCCCAGAGTCCTGGGCTCACACCCTGAGTGTCTGTCAGGCTCCTGAACCACGCTGGGCCTCAGTTTCTCTGAAAACCGGGCCCCAGAATAGTCCAGCTTCTGGGAACTGGTGGGTCACACCTGATGGCAGAGCCTGGACGACACTTCTGTGGGCCCCTCCCCAGACCGCCTCCCAGGACCCCCTCGTTCCCTGAGCTCCAGGAGGGCTGGGGGACAGCCTCCAGGCCCTGCCCTCTGGGACCCCAGGGCCTCGCCAGGCTGACCTGTCGGCCACCAGAGGGCGCCCCAGGACCGCGAGCGGAGTCGGATCAGCGGAGGTGCTGGGGGGCAGAAGCCAGGTTTGCCCCTGGACAGGAGGGCTCAGATCAGGGCCTGGGGCACAGCCGGTAGCTTTGGGGGGAGAGGGGCTTTCTGAGGCCCCTCAGGAAATAACGGGCCCCGGGTACGCGGAACCCACAAACCCTTGGGGCCTGAGGACCTGTGGACCAGATTCTGAACGGGCCGTGTGCAGGGGGCCGGACCGCAGCCCCAGTAAGGTAGGGGGCTGGGGGGGCTCTGCTGGGACAGTCCCCAACTCTGAAAGTCCCCAACTCTCACACCCACCCTGCAGGCTGGGGCCTGAGCCTGCTGGGGGTCCTGCCAGTGTCGGGGAATGTGGGGAGTGAGGGGGTCTCCCCAGACTCTCCAGCCGGTGGGACAGGGCAGTCTTGGACCCTTCCCTTCCTCTGTTCCCATGTCCTGTCCCTCTACCTCCGCCTCCTGGACACCCCTCCCCAGCCCCCCAGCCCAGTACCAGGCCATGCCCCTCTCCTGCCTACAACGCTCCATGGCTCCCCATTGTCCCACGGAATGCAAACCAGCCCGCGGTCCCCGCCCTCCCGGGCCATCGCCCACCTCCCTCTCTCCAGGCATCTGGACTCCCCTTTGCTCCCTTGTCCCCACCTCCCTTCTGCTGCCCCCCCCCCGCCCCCTGCCCCAGCACAGGGTCCTGCTGGGTCTCTCGTCCTCGCTTCTGGTGTTCT